TTCAGCTGCTCAGTAATGCTGTTGGGCTGTTGTCTTGGTGAAGTAAGCTTCCCAGAAATAAGCCGTCTGGCAGCAGGCTGTTCTCCGTTTCACAGTTGGACTCAGTAAGGCACCAAGAGCTCAAATGAAGCAATCGATGTGCAGAAAGTCCGTTTTAATTCTGCAACAATCTTGAATTCTCCAACCATCACAGCAGATGGCCCCGCCCTCCTGAGTCTCTCCTGTTAGAAGGAGTTTCTCCTCCCACTGTCGCCAAAGTTGTGCGTCACATTGAACGGCGTAAACGCTGACGGCCTGCCTCATTCTGTCTGCTGCTGTTTACTCTCGGCTCTTTGAAGCGTGGCGGCAGAATGCGAGAAAGCAGCGAGTTTTCAAATGGACTCACAATGAGGAGGAGTTGCTGCGGATAACAAAAGTACAAAGCGAGTGAGAGTTAAGAGTGAAGACAGCTCTCTGCAGCTTAACAGAACAATGCTGTGTACGCCCTTGCTATCTTTGGTTAATTGTCCATGACTGCACCACATGGATGCGTGCGCATCTTTTCGAAAGGCTCCGGTTCGATGTCACGCTGTGACGCAAGATGACTTTTCCAATGTTTCGTTGGAGAAAACCTGAGTTTCCTGACCGGAACGGCGTCTCCAGTGTGGACGGACGCCAAACGGAGAGAAAAAACCTTCGTAGGAGTCAGGATCTTCCTCCAACGCTGCTCAGTGACTGCCTCCTCCCTGCTGGGTGTCATCAGCTGTTGTTTGCAGTCATATCTGGCAGCCAGAAAGGAAATGGCTTTCTAAACTCGACGAGCAATAATAAGATCAGAGGTGTGTCTCCTTCCTGGCCACGAGCATCTCCTCTTTTCCCTTCATTGAATCATTGCCAGTATGGATGCCGGGAGACTCTCGCAGTGGGTTAAACCACAAACCCTGGATGAGAGAGGGCATGGCTGCAGCACCATCAAGTTGTTAAAGGGCATTTAGCTGATTTACTTGGCTTAACATCGTCTTTGAACATCTCCAGACTCAGCTGCAACCTGATTCAGTTGTTAGTGCCACTTGATTTGATCTGTGTTACTTGGAAAATCTATCTGACTTGAGTCATGGAAATGTTTCAGCTGGAAGGAATTCCCCTCCAGCTGAAACGGTAATAGCCTGGCTGCATCTGCTGGGATCAGGGTTTCCTCCTCGTGTTCCCAGCTGGGCCCAGTCCCTACAGAGGGATGGAGTTTTCTGCTCTAACGTGTGAGACACATGTAGCTGTAGCCACTTTAAAGAGCTGACGTCTCTGTGACCAGCAGTAACTTCAACAAACCAGTCTGAATGGGACCAGTGCTGTACGTGTGCTGGAGCCACACATTCCCCTGCAAATGAAGTGAAACCAGCTTGTTTCTGCTTTTTGTTTTCGCTGTGTTCGTTCCCAGAGTCACTGGTGGCGAGCTGTTCGAGGACATCGTTGCCAGGGAGTACTACAGTGAAGCTGATGCCAGGTCAGTGTGAGCTCTTTCCTTTCTGCGTTACTGTAGACGTGTCATGTGACTCGCTCTCCCTCGGCAGCAAAGGCGTATTCATGCAGCCACAGTGAACTAGAGCAGACACACAATGACAGCTGATCACAGTGGATGTTTGCAAAGCTCATCATGCCTCACGTATGCATCTATGCCTTTTGTGCCCCAAACCCTCTGTACCTTTTCTCTGTCCCTTTATGAGGAGGCTCCTTCCTCAGCTTCTGTTCTGCTTATTAAAAATCACCCATAAAGCAATAATCCAGAGTAGGGATGGGTATCGTTTAGGTTAGGTTAGCAGTGCTTAAACAATGGAAAAAACACAAACTTTGTCCAAAACCTCTCATGTTTAACTGTTTTTTGTAAAAAGATAACAGTGTTAGCCTTTTCTGCAGCTATGGGGCATATATGGTATCACTCTTGGCGGAAGCAGTGCTTAAACAATGAAAAAAACAAAACTTTGTCCAAAACCTCTCATGTTACTGTTTTTTGTAAAAAGATAACATGTTAGCCTTTTCTGCAGCTATGGGGCATATATGGTATCACTCTTGGCTGGAAGCAGTGCTTAAACAATGAAAAAACACAAACTTTGTCCAAAACCTCTCATGTTTAACTGTTTTTTGTAAAAAGATAACAGTGTTAGCCTTTTCTGCAGCTATGGGGCATATATGGTATCACTCTTGGCTGGAAGCAGTGCTTAAACAATGAAAAAACACAAACTTTGTCCAAAACCTCTCATGTTTAACTGTTTTTTGTAAAAAGATAACAATGTTAGCCTTTTCTGCAGCTATGGGGCATATATGGTATCACTCTTGTCTGGAAGCAGTGCTTAAACAATGGAAAAAACACAAACTTTGTCCAAAACCTCTCATGTTTAACTGTTTTTTGTAAAAAGATAACAGTGTTAGCCTTTTCTGCAGCTATGGGGCATATATGGTATCACTCTTGGCTGGAAGCAGTGCTTAAACAATGGAAAAAACACAAACTTTGTCCAAAACCTCTCATGTTCATCTGTTTTTTTGTAAAAAGATAACAATGTTAGCCTTTTCTGCAGCTATGGGCATATATGGTATCACTCTTGGCTGGAAGCAGTGCTTAAACAATGGAAAAAACACAAACTTTGTCCTAAACCTCTCATGTTCAGCTGTTTTTTTGTAAAAAGATAACAATGTTAGCCTTTTCTGCAGCTATGGGGCATATATGGATCACTCTTGGCTGGAAGCAGTGCTTAAACAATGAAAAAAACACAAACTTTGTCCAAACCTCTCATTTACTGTTTTTTGTAAAAAGATAACAATGTTAGCCTTTTCTGCAGCTATGGGGCATATATGGCATCACTCTTGGCTGGAAGCAGTGCTTAAACAATGGAAAAAAACACAAACTTTGTCCTAAACCTCTCATGTTTAACTGTTTCCCTTTTTTCTTTGGTCATTTTAGCCTTTTTGGCCAGGGTGAAGGGAGTATCTGCCATCAAAAAGAAGACAGCCGCATGTAGCTATGATGGTGTTTGCTAGTTCACCTTACATGCATTAATGTAATAACGTGGTTAGCCTACTCAACGTAAATTACACACAAACAAGATTAAGCTACTCACGCAGAGAAGAACGGCTGCTGCTGCATCATCATCCTCATCATTTCTGCTACACTGGCAGGGCTAGGGGCCAGGACTCTCCTCTTCAGGTTTTTGGGGGATGTTGCTAACTCTGGGTCCGACAGTATCAGCTTAAAGCACTTGTTGCAGGCTGCTGAGTTTGCATCTTTTGCCATCATGGCACCGGACACCGGCACCCATCCCTGATCCAGAGTGACTTTTGTGTAACATGTTAAAGGTTTCCATTGCAGGTTTTATTCCTTCCTGCAGGAGTTATGGACAGTTTCACCTAATTGATGCTGTTTGTGGTGGAGTTTGTGTTTTATATGAAGCAAACTTTGTATTTTCTCTTAACAACTTGAAGGAACAGTTCAGCAGTTCATACGCGTGACTTTATTGAGTGGGTGATGTATTTAGCACACAGATTGGGAGCAGAGGGAAACCCCAGAGTCAAAGAGTACAGCTGCCACCTCAGGCTGAGTGCACGATGGCTGTATGTGATTTTCAGCTTCAGCACTTGTCTGTGGAAGCTTGATGCTTTGGCAGGACTTTACGGTCTGTGCTTGATGTTCTTCAGCCGAGCTCTACGAACGCTTTGGTTAAGCCTCAAACGCTGGTGCAGGTACCTGTGCAGAAATAATTACTGAGGATGCCAAACGTGCAGCAAAAGGTGAGGAACAATGCTGCACGCAGAGAGTGTTAATCGTTTATTCTCAGCAGGCAACAAGACGCAGTGAACAAAATCACATCAGTTTGGTGGCGCCTTCGCCTTCTTCTACGTCCACTTCCACACAGTTTTTGAAGGAAGTCAGCTGGCAAACATCTGGGGAACTACGCACAGATGTTCTGTGGATGTGGGCGTCCTCAGGTCTCTGATCGCAGACACACTCGATGATGTTGAGATCAGGGGGGCGTCACTTCAGTGCTGCTTGTTCCTCTTTACAGTAACGAGTTCCTGATGAGTTCGGCTGTGTTTGGGCTCCTTAAACAGTCATTCATATTTCTGAAAGCTCTCTTTCTTTACAGCATTTTCCTCATCTGCCTAAGATGTTTGCACAGTGCTGTCCACAGTTTGTCAGACCTGCACAAACGCAGGCTGGTTGTCTAACGGGGCCGAGATAGAGATGGCTCCATGAGCTTGGACAGCAGCAGAAACCTTCGTCAAACACTGTCCCTGGTTCCTGCACCGTAGCTGCTGACAGCTCTGAGTGGCTCTCTCACTGACTTCATACAGCTGGACGCACACGTTTGAATTTATTTAGGATTTTCTCCAATCCTCACTAAGCCAAGAGTCTACATGAAGGCTTAGTTATGTATATACGCCCACAGGAAGTGCTGCAGGAGGCTCTACAGTGACATGCTAATGTATTGTAGTCATCATGATTGACTACAGCTGGTAGCTTGTCTTTGGATTTGTTTGACAAACTTCAGTGGAGCCTCGCCGTCACCCTCAGAGGAGAGGAAGTTAGGAAGTCCAGGATCAACCTGGGAACCATTAAGACTGTGGTGAAGCGAGTTTTCCACCACCGTGGTTGGAGAGGTTGCCGACCACACAGTGTCCGTATGGATAAATCTTCAAAATGAAGTTTGACGGTGGGACAGGACAAAGAGCTGTTTGGCCCGATGACAAGAGGCTTATGTTGAGGAGTAAAGCTGAGGTTCCTAAACCTGAGAGCACCGTGCGGACTGTAGGAGCTGTTCTGCTGACAGCGGTGCAGGTAAGAAACACAGCTGGGTTCTCCAGCAGGACAGGACAACATGCTGCTCCGAGCTCCGCCTCCGCTTCAGGGCCCGGACCACGAGCCAACATGTTCAGATCGGTGACGGTGGTCAAATATACCGACAGAATCATCCCCGAATCCTGTTGATGGCTAAAAGCATCATTTTAAGCTGTGTGACTGTAGAGAAATGCCAAATAAATCCAAGCTCGTGCACCGTTGCTTTCAAAGTCCTGCAGGAGAAGAAAACGTGCACTCACATTAGAAATGCAAAGCCCCGTAAAGATGCCCAGGACGAGTGGATGGAAACAGCTGAGCTGTTTACCGTCACCGAGCTTGTGCAGCCATCATGTCCATACTGCAGTGTATTCATCGCTCATGGTCACCGCTGCGCCTGTGTAGTCTTTGCTCGTGTTTCTAGTCGTGTCTTTGAATGCATCCCTCGTCTCTCCGTTAAACTTCCTGTAGGTTAGTTTAGCGTCCTCGTGTCTCTCGTGCGTCTCACCTGTGTGCTTCTCCTCCTCTGTTATCTGTTCCTGTGTTTATAGTGTGGCCGTAGGATCCAGAATATTTAAAGTTTACCTTTTTAGGTCCTGACAGTGAGCAAAGTTTGTTACCAAGCAGCTGTATTCCTGACACTTTAGCTGTTTCCTGCTTCCGTCTATAGCAAAGACAGACCTGCCTCTGCAGCAGCTCGCACTGCAGAAAGTCTTCACGCCATCGAACACTGAACTGTTCCTTTTCGATGTTCACCTGTCACTGCAGTGCTGCTCCAGGTGTCTGACACTGACCCGTCCTCCCTCTCCTCTCTGCTTCTGGCCTGGTCTGCCTCCACAGTCACTGCATACAGCAGAGTGTAGAAAGTGTAAATCATTGTCACACAAATGGCTTAGTGCACAGAGACCTGAAGGTTAGTAAGGGCCAACCGTTAAGAGACTCGGCCGTGCTGCATCCACTGCCTGATCAGTGCCACGCCCCTCCACCAGTCACCCTCGCACATCGCCACAGCTGGGCGTTGTGGGCAGGCTGGCTGGAGACGAGGCGGCGGGATGTGTCGTGCAGGCGGGGGGCAGGCAGACGCCATCACAGCCTGCCTCTACTGTACGCCACCAAGTGCATGTAGCATCTTTGCTAAGTGGTGCGCTGACACAGCCGCTGTCAGGCTTCGTCAGAGAGAGGAGAAAGATGGTGTGGTTTCATTATGATCATTGTTATGATTCTAAAGGTGGAGCATCATTAGGTTCAATTCAAATTCATTCAGTGTGTTTACACATAAATACAGCAGAGAAAGTTTGAAGCAACGAATTTGCTTTTTAACACTTTTGAATCTATAAAATGTGTTTAAGAGATGAAAGCAGGAGCAGACCTGAAGCATCCTCACAAACAGGATGTGCTGCACGAGTAACACTTTCAGCACGACACAGTCAGAATACTCTTAGTTATGCAAGCCTGCATCCAGATGTGGCACGCTTGTGTTACATTTCCACAACTGTCTGTCTCTAAGCACCTCCTAGCATTTGCACACTCCTTCATTGTGTTGGGAGCAACTAAGGGCTGCAGTGTGTTTCTGAAGGATCGATCCACTGTGCAGGCACACACGGACCCGGGCCCTGTTTCAGGAAGCCGGTTTAGAAAACTCAGAGTGAAAAACGATACTCAGGGTTGAGTAACCCCGAACTGTCCAACTCGGAATATTCGGTTTCAGAAAGGCTGATAACAATTAGTTCAGTCAACGCGGAGTTGCTTTAACCCCAAGTTAAGCGCGCGCACGAGGATACAGAAAGCCCTGATTAGTGGAGCACAGATTAAGCGAGTCACCATGGAGACGGAGGGAAAGAAGGCGCGGTCAATGTATTTTACAGCGCTTGAGGCCGAAATCCTGATGGCAGCATATGCCGATAACATGCAAATTCTGCGGAAAAAAGTAACACAGCCACAGCTGCAAAAGAAAGGGAGCATGCATGGCAAAACAAAGCCGACAGAGTCAATGCGTGAGTGTTAATTTAAACATTGATCGAGGGATTTCCACCCATTTAACACGTTATTTTATCATATTTTATTTTATTTGTTATTTTATACATTTTATTTTGTGATGTGATGTGAGCGCAGGTGCAACCCAACAGGCCCCAAACGTTCCTGGCAGCAAGTAAAGATGAAATATAAAAATATAGTCCAAACAGGTAAGGTGTAATTGTATTATGAGCCATAGTGCTTGGTCTGTTTGTAAATCAATTGCAGTTAGAGGCTACATTAATTTTCTGTCTGTAAGCACTTATTGAAATTATCTGAGCACATTACAAGTACATATTTGCTTACTCTGTATGCTCAAATGTGACCCGTTATAGCCAACAGAAAAAAAGCGGGGGCCCGAAAAACAGGTGGGGGTCCTCCACCACCACCACTCACAGAGGCTGAGCAGTTGGCTTCCACATTTGTGATAATGTTGGCAGCATCACATATGATCTTCACAGTGCAGAGAACACAAATTAGCATCCATTACTATGATGAAATGATTTGTTAGTTTGAAATGCTACAGGGAACTATGTACCTGTACATTAATGCTGTGGAAAGACTTCCTGTTCACATAGTCTCCTTCATTTACTGAAGGAGCAATGATTGGAATGTGAGTGCCATCTGTACAGCCAATCACGCCTGGGAACCGTGAGAATAAATGTAAAATTTAAGTAGTAGTCCAAGTATCACCACATCATGAATTAAGTTTCGTTCATCCTGATACCTGCAATTTTGTGGCATCCCTCTTTGATGAATCTTGTGGGTCTGTGACCGGGGAACACAAACGAGTACAGGAGACGTTTCAGTGCAACTGTAACAACCTGACTGCCAGACAGACGGTAGCCTTGGAAACGTGCTCAGCATCACCAATATTATACAGAAAGCTCCCGTTTGCAAGAAACCGAAGTGCGATACAAATAATATGTACAGAACTGAGAGGATGTCCGCGATGTGTCACATGAGCAATATTAGGCCTGAGGATGTTATTCAAATAAATTATAGATTGTGCTGAAAAAACGGTAACGTTCACACAGGAAATCATCAGGAAATGATAAAATGTCCGAACGCGCTCTGATCACTCTCTCCCGGCAGAGAATTTGGGCTTCAACATCTACTGGCTCTTCAAGGAAGGGGCACGCCATGTCTGACACTTCCTACAGTCAGGTTTCTGACAAAGAGGCGGAGAAGGTCAGGGTTAGTTGAAGTAAACCTGCTAGGGGGCAGGTTAGCTTCACGGAGTGTGTCGTCATAGTAACTCACTCAGAATTAATCTAAACCCGCTTTGTGAAACTGAAAAACCAGAGTTTTCGTTAACTCAGGGTATACTTACTCAGTTTTTCCACTAAACCGGCTTCCTGAAACAGGGCCCTGAGCTGGTCACCTGATGTCAAACGCACACGGGTCAACCAGCTCTTCTTCAGCGTTGGTGCGTCTGGACCGTGTAGCTTCAGCCCGAGCGTGTCATTAGACGCTACATGTCTGTAATGCTGCATCCATGTTCCATGTTTAGGAGGAACCATGTAACCTACACAAACATGTAGTGAACCTGCAGCACTATATTTGGTTTGTCAGTCACAGGTTGCTTCAAACTTTAACTGCTTCATTCACATGTTGTCTTCAGTAAAGTTTGTAACATTATCCTGTAAAGGGACACACTGTGTCAGCTCCTGTAATAAACCACACTATTCTGTAGCTCCGCCTCTCTGCCCCGCCTCCAGATCTAACCTCTGCTCTGAGGCTCGGGCAGAGAGCTGTGTGTGAGGATGATGATGAAGTTCCAGGATGTGTTTTAACTGTGGCAGCACAGAAAAAGCCCGTTGAGTGAACGGCCCGTTTTCAGCCAAATTACCTCAAGTTGCTGCTAATTTTAGCTTCTGGGCGGCGAGTTGCCACATTACTGAGCTCCGCCCACTAACACGCCAGCTCCCCGAGGCTCAAAGCAAGCTCACAGCTACAAATATGAGTGTTAGCTCGTCACTAACCCATGCCCCCTGGTGTTTGCATGCAGTCACTGCATTCAGCAGATCCTAGAGGCTGTGCTGCACTGCCACCAGATGGGTGTGGTCCACCGCGACCTCAAGGTGAGTCGATACAAACGGTCTCTCTCTGTCCTTTTGTCCTGATGCTTTCCAGTTATGCTCTTTCCTTTTCCCTGTCAGTATTCTGAAGTTCTCATCAAAACACTTGGTCTTCACCAGCAAAAGTTGGAACATTTCTCTAAAATACAAGGAACCAACAATGGCTGCGCGCCTGTTTCTTTAAAGAGCAGCGTCTGCTTAGTGTCAAAAGTGTTGTTGGGTAATGATTGTTGTGCTAAGTTCAACTGTTGAGGAAATTCAGTGTGAGGCTATAATTTGAATGGTCCTTCCAGGAACGACGCCCTCACGGAGCCATCAGCTCTGCATCTGTAACCAGGTCAAATGCTTTACGTGGAGCCGCTGAGCACATTGTGGTGTCTCATCGTGGGTAATTGCACTAATGCCTCCGCAGCGGTCTCTCTAATGCTGCTCTCCTCCTGTGGTTCGCTCCCGAAGCTCTAATTTGTCAATCAAATGAAGCGGGCGTGTCTGAGGTTTGCTTACCTGCAGCAGTAAGCTGACGTTTTGCATCTGTCGGCTGCCCTCGCCCCGCACTCTGATTGGCTGTTGCCAGGCAGCTGCCACAGTTGACTGCAGAAACACAAAGAAAAGCAAATGCAGCCGAAACAAACGAGCGAGCGGGAGCTGTAGAAACAGCCACGTTTTTGTGTGTGTGCACTCGTGTGATTCGATTCCTGCACATGATGGTCTGTGCAAACACACACATGCTGTGGAGGTCGATGTGTAGGAAAGAGTCCTGGGTTACACATGCCTGCACTGTGACGATGTTTTCTGTTCACATAAATCCAGCGCAGTCATCTTACACTGTGGAGGCTTTCTGTCAGTGTAAAGATTTAACATCCTGAGATGCTTGAATGTAAGAAAAAGGAGTGTGATGATGAAGCAGCGCTGCTGTGGTCAGTGAGAGGCTTAAACTGTGAGAAATAACAGGAAAAGTTCTTTGTGCAGACAGAGTCTGTCCTGTTTGTGTTTCACTGTAAACCCACAGTTAAAACCAAATGTGCACATTTATAAAGCAGGAACCATTACTGCTTTCCTTTGGTGCTGTGTGGTTGGTCACAGGGAGTCATTGCCAGTAGAAGCTGAAGTCTCACATTTCTGCCCGTCTCCACGAGGACCAGCTGGACGTTCTTTGGTGGGTTGGCTCTGGGGCGCTGGCCTTATGTTGACACCCCGCTCTAAGACTTGATCTCTGTTGTTTCCGATTATCAGCCTTTGTAATATCCACATTATCCTCCCACATATTCTCCAGAGACACAAGAATAGAAGCCACTCGAACAGCTCCGACAGAGTGTTGGTGATCAGCCAATGTCAGCGCAGCCAATGAGGAAGCGCGGTGTTCAGAGTCACAGGCGGAGAGGATTTTGATGGCTTTCTGGATCTAATCTCGTTTATTTGTCACCTTTCTGAAAGTTTTGTTCTGCGTCTCCCAGAAAATCTCAGTAATTTGTTGCATTTGTGATAAAGCTGTAAAAGATCGCAGCTTTATTTCTAAAGCACTGCAACATAAAGTGCTGCACAGAGTCCAGACTGAGCAGGCTCTGATCCATCAGCTCATTGGATCTGCTCTTTGACTCACTGTGTCAGACACAATCCAATCTATCACAAGAAGGGAGCACAAACCCTGATGTGAACTGTGCACAAATGCAGGACGTGCTGGTGCATTGGTGCATGCTAAAGGCACAAACCTGCATCCTGCACGGCTCCATCACTGTTTGTGTTCTTCGCCCTGCGTTTGACTATCTTTGCATGCGTCTCATCCAGGCCTGAGAGCTGCAGTAGGTCAGTTAGAGACTGTGGCGGCGCTTCAAGGGTTCAGTGACTGGATCCATTATTAGCAGCCCTTAAAGCACACTGGGGGCCTTCCATCCATATGGCCCCATCTGAGAGATCATAAATAGATTATCAAGCACAGTCAGGGTGTGCGACACAATATCCACTAGAAGTGAGTGTCAGAGTTGTCTGTGGACCGAGGAGAAGCTTCTTTTTCCTGTGGGAGATCCTCAGCTCTGAGCATACAGAATCAATAAGGATCCAGTGCAGTCAGATATCAAAGGAGGCACTGGTGTGCTCTAGGTGTGTTTCCTCTGGTAGTGAGATGAAGGTGGAAAGCAGCCCTCATCCTTCTCCACAGGGCGGAGGTTTACGTTTCAGCTAACCAAGAGAAGGAGCTCTCAGTGGCTGAGCGTTAGCCTCCGCGGGCGAGGATGACTGTGAGTACAGAAAAGCAGTGTGCTACAGTTAGTATATACCAGTGGGCACGAGGATGGAGAGAGCTCATGGCTCTGGCATCACAGTGACTCTTATCTCGTGGTTCCAGGATTTGTCCCTCAGAGAGATTTATTGTCATTGCACAGTCGTGCAGTGAACCTGGAGACCTGTCCCACGTCGGCACTACGTACAGCAGGACAGGACAACTTAAGTACTAAAAAAGTGCATGTTTATTGCACCTTGTTATAAATATTGTTGTTGTTACCCCCAGAAAGGTCCAGGGAGGCATTCACTCAGGTCAGCTGTTAGCACTGATTAGGGCCTCAGCAGCCCCAATCTCCTGCCCAACGGCAGCAGCTTAAACACCCGGTGAAAGAGGAGGCCCGCTGACTCTGTACACGGTCCGACAGGAAGTCTCAGGTGGCAGCAGGAAGTCCAGCAGTTTCTATTAGTCTGCCTGTTAGTGGCGTTTTGAAAGCAGAGCTAAGTCAGCGAACAGCAGCCTGGCGTAACGGCCTGTTGTTCCGGTGGGAGATGGCAGCGTTGTAACAACTGACAGCTGATCCGTGACCTCTGGATGGGACCTGGAGCGAGTGTGGGCTTGAAATACTGCAGGTTAGAATATCAGTGATGCACTGATGGCAAATATGTTGACCTGATGTTGCTAAAACCATCTAGTCGACACGTGCAAGGAAACTGTAGATGCAATCCCACCATTTACTTCCAATCAGCTGGTCCCAACTCCGGCCTGTTAAAAGGTGTCTCATTGCCAAGGTGTCACGTATATAACCAAAACCAGTGAGCTCTCAACACCTTCACCAGTTTCTTACTGGTTGGTTACAGAAGAATTTCCAAACGACTGACGGTTGCAGTCAGCATCCAGAGGTGGAAAGACCAGGGCCAGGCTGACCCGGTGTTTGGAGGTCAAAGACACATCAGCCAACATTAAAGGGGGCGGGGACATCAGGGGGCGGGGCTCAGATACCTGAGAGGAGGATGAACGGGAAAATGAACCTAGGATGTGTGAATGCAGCTGTTGAAGGATGAACCTGTGGCAGACTGATGTCGTCAGCCGGGTGGAGATGAGCATGTTCATGACACAGTGATTGTGATCAGAGTGCAGGTGTTGCTGTCATGTTTCAGCTCAGTGTGGGCGTCGTCCACAAACTCCGTCTGATGAGTGATTGGCTCTCACTGACGCTGAGGTGTGGTTGGACAACAAGCTTGTGTTGTGATCAACAGCAGCTTGTGTTGTTGTTGTGTGCTGCTTTGAATATGTTGACGAGCGCTTCACGTGTCCTCCGCGGCCGCTCTCACGCCCCGCCTGGCTCGCTCGTATTGAAAGAGTCGTGCAGCCGGGCTGAAGCGACCTCAGACTGAGGCTGACTATGATCGGGCTCAGCATGAGTCAGTGCTGAGTTTGTGTGCAGAGGCCTCCAGCCCAGCCATTAGTCTGTCCCGGACGCTCTCTGACATCAGTCCTTGATGATGCTGTGATAGCCCCTCCTACTAGCTGCTAGCAACCAAAGTCTTGATTCATGTTGAGCCTCATTGTAAAGTCCTGTCTTGAGCCGCTGCAGGATGCTGATGTTTCCTGTTCTTCACTCCAAGCCAGAGAATCTGCTTCTAGCCAGCAAGCTGAAGGGCGCTGCAGTCAAGCTGGCAGACTTCGGCCTGGCCATCGAGGTTCAAGGAGATCAGCAGGCGTGGTTCGGTGAGTGACCTCAGTTTGGTCCGTGTTAGCGTGACTTACCTGTGTCAGCGCTGCGACCTTCATGTATCAGCTGACTGTTTTAAAGCCCAACACTGTGTTGTAACATGAATGTCAAGAAAGATGTCAGTGTGCACTCATCCCATCAAAGTGAATCTGTGATTGTGGGATGTGTCTAAATACTGGTGATAAAACTAATGACATAACACACAGGTTAGCTGTTTTGCACAGGTGCAGTCTGTCAAAATGTTGTGTAACTACACACGAGCCGGTACATCTGTCAGGCGTTTGCTCTCCAACGATGTCACTGTGTCAGCACACCCTAATACCCCACAGAGACGAGGTGCTCCACTGCTGCCGGCTTGCATCAGGGTGGAGGTCTGGCCTACTTGTCTCCATCTAGTCTCTGTGGAGCTCTGAGATAATTAGTCTGTTCCCCCAGCACCAGCTTCCATCTGGAACCAGTTCATTTTATGCCCTAACTTAAGTACCAGTTGGACGTCCCCCATGAGCGTGTGTGAGCCAAAGCACACGCCTGGTGCAGAGTGCTTTGATTGCAGCTCTTAAACCTTGCTTTACGAGGCCTCTGGTCCTACCTGCTTAGGTAACGAGCTGTGGGTCGTCTGTACAAGCTTCACTTGTGTGTCTGTGTTTCAGGTTTCGCTGGGACACCAGGATACCTGTCTCCAGAGGTGCTGAGGAAAGATCCCTATGGCAAGCCAGTGGACATGTGGGCCTGCGGTAAGAGACGAGCAGCGTGTCATTCTGTCCTGTGTGCTGCTCTGTGGCAGCCTCTTGGATTAATCACTGCTCTCACTAGTGAAAGCAGCACATCTGGCTGCAGCTGTGGGAAACACATGCGTGCAGCACACCTGTCCTGACTCAGACCACAGCAACAAAGGGCGGTGTTGTTTGTGGTCGTAGCGGCAGATACGGGTCCTTTTCATCTTTTGCAGGCAGACGGCCAATTAAAAAGCCCGTCCTGGTAACACCAGCAAACAGAAGCGCTCAGTGTGTCTGCATTTACACAAACAGCAGCTGTTTGACTTTGTCTGCTGCTCATTTAGAAACAGCTGAATGCAAACAGGTTGTCCTGGTGTGACGTTAGTGAACACAAGCCGGCCTTTTTCCTGAGGCTCGGTTTGCTTTAGTAAAGACGTGAGCTCTCGGTTAACTGTGGTTTCCGCTGCTCGTAGGAGTGATCCTCTACATCTTACTCGTGGGCTATCCTCCCTTCTGGGACGAGGACCAGCACAGGCTGTACCAGCAGATCAAAGCTGGGGCGTATGATGTGAGTTACACCGTGCAGCCACGCACACGTGCAGAGAAATGTGTTCCTTTTAACAATAACGGTTAGCTAAACTCCAAATGGTTTTCACGATGTCGTTGAACAGTTTCCCTCCCCAGAGTGGGACACGGTGACCCCGAGGCCAAAGACCTGATCAATAAGATGCTGACCATTAACCCAGCCAAGAGAGTGACGGCCACCGACGCACTCAAACACCCCTGGATCTGCGTAGGTGTCGCGCTCCCTAACCCGGGCAGGTTGTGTAGTAGCGTTTAAGCTTGTGACACTGCCTGTGTGTTTCCACAGCAACGCTCCACTGTAGCATCCATGATGCACAGACAGGAGACTGTGGAGTGCCTCAAGAAATTCAACGCCAGGAGGAAACTCAAGGTAGGCGGCGGCAGTGAGCGGTGCACATCTAAAGCACTGAAAACCAGAGCATGCTCATCCTGCTGTGACGCTCCCCTGTCCATCTCTCTCCTCAGGGTGCCATCCTGACAACGATGCTCGCCACTCGAAACTTCTCAGGTACGACCTGGAGTAAAGGCTGACAGCCAGTCATGGCCCGTGTTGTAGCGACTCCCTATAATGCCGTTCACATGTGTGGTTCACATGTTGAGGTGCTGCCTCGGAGTCCTGCTGTGTCCTGATGTTCTGGCCTTTAGAGCCCATTAAGCTCGGTGCTCCCCTTTAAGCTGCCGTTAACAAAAACTGGAGTGAGCGTGCAGATCGATGCCGTCCACGGGTGCCTTTAAAGGGCGAACCATTTCAACTGAACCAGTATTGATTTGTGTTTATGACTAATGACAGGAAAGCTGCTCATTCCACTTCTGTCTCAGCTGTGAGTGCGATCCCTCTGTTTACCTTTGTTTTTCTTTCTTCCTCCTCGTGTGGTAACTCGTGTGTAAGGTAAGAGTCCTCGCTGTAGCTAGCACGTCTCTGCAGCGCTGAGCTACACTGCCAGGTTTGAGTCCGGGCATGTGTGTCTACCAAAACTCCACTGTGGGTCAGTTTGTGCATTAGCGGTCATTGTAGAGGAATCAAAGCTGGTTTACGAGGCCTTTGCCATCCTGCAGACTAAGTGTGAGAAACGTCCTCAGTATTGACTGCAGAGGGGAGCAGACGTCTCTCGCTTCCAGTCAGATGTTGTATCGTTAAATATACATATAAAATATATTAGACCCACTGACAGAGCGGAACTATCACATGTTGGAGTTAATCCTTTCAATGTGTGTAAATATGATGTAATTTCAATAGAAAAACATCACAGGGATATAAAAACAGTTAAGTTTGATGTGTTTTAATTGATCAGAAGGGAAAAGTTTGCTGTGTGCAGACAGAAAGCATTGATTATGTGATGGATCTGTTCCATCTCACAGCAGCAAAGAAAGGATCTGCTGTTGATATAAAGTTCGACACGTATCGATGCAAAGTCATTAAAAACGTATTAAAGTTCCTGCTTTTAAAGCTCAGCTGCTCCTAAATAGACTCGTAATTATATCATCTCCTTTAAATACTGGCCCAGACAGACGTTTCTCTTCAATGGCCGCCAAAAGACAGCTTTGGTCACTGCAAAGCTTCGATCAGTCACTCTACGTGCTGTGATTTAGTCTCACCCTGACAGACGATGCACCAAACTGCTTACCTCTGCTGCTACAATCACCTGCTTCATGTCTCACAGTGTCCTTGCATGTCGACTGTAAAGTTCATTAACCGGCCACAAATACGTGAGGGAAGCTCAGAGTTGCTGCTCGGTGTTCTTGCTGAAAGAGCAGAGTTTCCTCTAAATGTGCTCCGTGTCTCCTGAGGTTTTACCAGCTGAATCTAACCGCATGCTCCCGTCTCCGTTACTGCTTTCTTTGGGCTTTTTTTGTCTCCTGACTTTGCTTTTTCCTCTTCTGCTTCCGATGGTAGGGCCACTCTGAGGCTGCTAGTCATTGGCCGCCTTGAATGGACCTGCTGCATGTGCCTGTGTAGTTGTTCAGCTGGCGTCTGATTTCCTCCCATTGTTGTCTTTGTTTCCACAGCAGCCAAGAGCCTGCTGAATAAAAAACCGGATGGTGTCAAAGTAAGTACCGTCACACTCCAGGTTACAGATGTACCTTATTGTTGACAGCAGGTCGTACTGCACACCCCACTGGACCCCCGTGGGTTTGCTCTCATGTTTGAATACTGTCAACAAAATGGACATTAATGAAGCTTGTCTTCAGACATGCATCCGTCCTACCAGGTGTCACAGGTAGTTCGTCATTTTTCACTCCGTTGACTCAACATGAAGATAAACTCTTCAATTCACGTTTATGACTCTTTTAGGAACATGTGCATCTGAAACAGCACGGTGGCACAGCGGTTAGCGCTGTTGCCTCACAGCTAGAAGGTTCTGAGTTCAACTCCACCATCAGGCTGGTGGAGTTTGCATGTTCTCCGTGTTTGTGTGGGTGCTTTCCGGGTACTCCGGCTTCCTCCAACAGTCCACAGGCAGCGGGGTTAACTGGAAACTCTAACTTGGCGTGCGTGTGAATGTGTGAGTATGTGTTAGCAGTTAGCTGTCCAGGTGTGCCTTGCACCTCTTGCCCTAAGACAGCTGGGATTGGCTCCAGCTCCTGAGACTCCAGCATTGATGGAGGTCAGTAGTACTTATGTCATCGTACGTATATGGACAGTTGACCGTTTGAGAGTCATCCTCCTTGGTTGCTGCTGGTATGCTAGGCTATGCTGCTTTACCCAGTATCTCAATTAGAGTTTCTATTACATTTGCAGGTTCTGTAGGTGTTGGGGACTGTGGATACGGTTTATAGTAGGGCAAAACAGCCGGGCAAACAGCATGTTTACAAATCCCAGACACAACGATGTTGTCGGTGTGCTCAATAGTGAGAAAGAAAGAGGAAGCAGAGCTCTGCAGAGCTCCGCAGCATTGCTGTTGTTTGATTTGACAGTTCTGTGAAATGTGCTGCATCATCTCTGAGGCTCATTAAATAGCTCTGGTTTCCCTTTAAGCACAGTCCAGCCTGTCAGAGGGACTCGTGTTCCTGCCTGTGGTAGTCCGCTTGTCTTCATGACCTGTTAAAAACGTGTTGCTGGTTTCATGAATTTGACTTGTTGCATTATGTGAAAGGAAGTGCTTTTTGCTAAGTATGCATTTTAATCACCATCGTGTGGTTTCATTTACTACTTTGGACACAAATGAATATGCAGTGGATTGATGTGAGTTACGTTTCACAATGAGACAAAGACGACGTTTCCTGTGTTCACGCAGAAAAGGAAGACGGACAGTGCAGAGCACGTGGGGGTACGTCTGCTGCTTTGGTAGCCAGACCAGCTTTTGAAGTAGTTGGCAATAGAGACCTCGTTGTGTTTCCACCACAATCACAGTGCTGCTTGAGGCTGGGGAGGCACTGCATGACTCACGACACAGAAACACTATAGTTTGGGCTGAATGTGTCAAAGCAGCTTTATCATTGTTATTATTAAAGTCAGAGATGCCTTTGAATCCGTGTTCAACATTTTATTCAGAAAATGTAGGATTTAGGTTTGAAACCTCTGAAATACTAAAAATTAGTGTTTTTATGTAAAACAAAATAACGTTTTAAAGTTTTCTGTGTGAGGTCCACCTGTTCTGGTGTGCAGGGCTGACCTGAGCTCATAACCACTGCTTGCTGACCAAATAGCCACTTATGTACACAATCTGTAGCTTTCTTCTTCTCCTGCATACAGCAGTGTTGAATAGATTAATGCTTATAGTGATGCTAGTTTCACGCTGAACTCTTTTGTTTGCTTTGTTGCACAGATGGGAACAGATTCCCATTCCTGACCCACGTGGACGTTAAAACCAGGAGTTCCACTGTCAGCATTAAATAAAGTCATGTAGTGTGTCCCCAGCCGAGACTAAACCGCAGACACTGGCACAGTAGATGACACAGCTTAAACCATAGATTCTGAATGTGTGTATAGTTGTGGTTTAGATTCGTTGAATTTTCACGTCGACATGGAGTTGATGTGATCTGATTGTTTCGTTGTCGGGGTTTCTTAAAGTCGGCGTCTCCGTGTTGTGTAAATGTGACGCATGTTCCACATTTCTGAAACAAAAGCACGCACAAGGAAAACAACTTTCCACAGTGACCGTGTGCTGTCAGGCACAACTAATGCCGTTTAAAATTAAATTACCATATTTCGCTCATTTGACACCACTGACGGGTGAAGGCAATAATGCTAAATATCTGAATCATGCTACACTAAATCAATAACTCTGTTATCTCTTCATCACTCCTGTTAGTAGGCGGGGCGTAGTAGGCCGTGACTGAACTGCAAAAAGTGTAACGTTGGACAGAGTATCTCAGAACTGCAGCTCTGGAGTGTTCCCAGTATACAGTGGTCAGTATCTACTAAAAACCAGTGGTGAACAGGGTCAGTGATGCATGTGAGGAGCAAGGCCAGTGTGGTCCAGGGGCTCGGTCATCCATGATAGTTCCTCTTCCTGTTCCTTATCCCATCTGTCTTGGTGTTCTTGGAGCAGCACATGTGTACCCTTGTAGATCCTTCACAATCAGCCCCCTGTTTGTCCTGTCAGGTGATCAAGCAGTGCTGTTAGCTTCTTCAGGCTGCAGACGGGGCTCACGTCGGGTCCTGGGGCCGTCCGGCTCTTCGTTCCAGACACTTGTTGTTGGATGTCTGCCTTTGTGATGCTGACTGGCTCTTGTTCTCTGGGCTTATGTCCACCAGCCACTCTGCGTTTGTATTTTTCTCTTTTCTTTTTCTCCCAGATGTTCTTCGAGTGTTCGAGCTCTGGTCTGTCTGCCTCTGATATGATTGCCTTGTAGCCAAGAGTACAATCTGGATGGTAAATGGCCTGTATTTATATAGCGCTTTACTAGTCCCTAAGGACCCCAAAGCGCTTTACATATCCAGTCATCCACCCATTCACACACACATTCACACACTGATGATGGCAGCTACATTGTAGCCACAGCCACCCTGGGGCGCACTGACAGAGGCGAGGCTGCCGGACACTGGCGCCACCGGGCCCTCTGACCACCACCAGTAGGCAACGGGTGAAGTGTCTTGCCCAAGGACACAACGACCGAGACTGTCCAAGCCGGGGCTCGAACCGGCAACCTTCCGATTACGAGGCGAACTCCCAACTCTTGAGCCACGATCGCCCCGTGGATATATCTTCAGGCTTCATGACCAAACCTGTGAGCCTCTGGCAGTTTCTACAGCCTCAGTTATTGTTGTATTTCTTCTTCGTCTGATTGTTTTGTGAGAGCCTTCACACCAGCGGCCTGTTGCGGTTGTGCTGTAGGGCGCTGGCAGTGCTCATTCTGTTCCTGCTTGCACAAAGGAGCAGATATTGGTCCAGCTCTGCTAGAGTAACTGCCGTCTCCTGGACTCTCCTACAAGTCTGAGACTGTGATACAAGATACAGCAAACTGTCTGGCACTGGGAGTTGTGCGTTTGTGAAACACCTGTGCAACCTTTGTATGGCCCCGGTATCAGACCACACTGCTGCACTAACTTCAGCCAAACTCCAGCAGGTGAAACTAGCAGCCCACACTGTTACCCACCTGATCAGATCAGGAAGTCTGATTTAAAAAGTTCCTTTGATTCTTTTTAGCTGTGTGTGTGCGTGTAAAATAATTCACACAGTGATGTCTGGTAAAGTCCCCTAACCTGCTGTAGCTTAATCAAAGTAGTCACAGCGCCTGAGAATCTTTCTTTAGGACGAACGATGCATTTTATCAGCTTTGTGTCTGACTGTCTCTGCTGTTGTCTCTGCTTTCGTCTGTGCTGCTGTCTGTGCTGTTGTCTCTGCTGTTGTCTCTGCTTTCGTCTGTGCTGCTGTCTCTGCTGTTGTCTCTGCTGTTGTCTGTGCTGTTTTCTGTGCTGATTCTTTTTAGCTGTGTGTGCGTGTAAAATAATTCACACAGTGATGTCTGGTAAAGTCCCCTAACCTGCTGTAGCTTAATCAAAGTAGTCACAGCGCCTGAGAATCTTTCTTTAGGACGAACGATGCATTTTATCAGCTTTGTGTCTGACTGTCTCTGCTGTTGTCTCTGCTTTCGTCTGTGCTGCTGTCTGTGCTGTTGTCTCTGCTGCTGTCTCTGCTTTCGTCTGTGCTGCTGTCTGTGCTGTTGTCTCTGCTGTTGTCTCTGCTTTCGTCTGTGCTGCTGTCTGTGCTGCTGTCTCTGCTGTTGTCTCTGCTTTTGTCTGTGCTGCTGTCTGTGCTGTTGTCTCTGCTGCTGTCGTCTGTGCTGCTGTCTCTGCTGCTGTCGTCTGTGCTGCTGTCTGTGCTCTTGTCTGTGCTGTCGTCTCTGCTTTCGTCTCTGCTGTCGTCTCTGCTTTCGTCTGTGCTCTTGTCTGTGCTGTTTTCTGTGCTGTTGTCTCTGCTGTCGTCTCTGCTTTCGTCTGTGCTCATGTCTGTGCTCTTTTCTGTGCTGTTTTCTGTGCTCTTGTCTGTGCTGTTGTCTGTGCTGTTGTCTGTGCTGTTTTCTGTGCTGTTGTCTGTGCTGTCGTCTCTGCTGTTGTCTGTGCTGTTGTCTGTGCTGTCGTCTGTGCTGTTGTCTGTGCTGTTGTCTCTGCTGTTTTCTGTGCTGTTGTCTGTGCTGTCGTCTCTGCTGTCGTCTCTGCTCTTGTCTGTGCTGTTGTCTGTGCTGTCGTCTCTGCTGTTGTCTCTGCTGTTGTCTGTGCTGTTTTCTGTGCTGTTGTCTGTGCTGTCGTCTCTGCTCTTGTCTGTGCTGTTGTCTGTGCTGTCGTCTGTGCTGTTGTCTGTGCTGTTGTCTGTGCTGTTGTCTGTGCTGTTTTCTGTGCTGTTGTCTGTGCTGTCGTCTCTGCTGTTGTCTGTGCTGTTGTCTGTGCTGTTGTCTGTGCTGTCGTCTCTGCTCTTGTCTGTGCTGTTGTCTGTGCTGTCGTCTCTGCTGTTGTCTCTGCTGTTGTCTGTGCTGTCGTCTCTGCTGTCGTCTCTGCTGTTGTCTGTGCTGTTGTCTGTGCTGTTTTCTGTGCTGTCGTCTCTGCTCTCGTCTGTGCTGATGTCTGTGCTGTTTTCTGTGCTGTTGTCTGTGCTCTTGTCTGTGCTGTTTTCTGTGCTGTTGTCTGTGCTGTCGTCTCTGCTCTTGTCTGTGCTGTCGTCTCTGCTGTCGTCTCTGCTCTTGTCTGTGCTTCTGTCTCTGCTGTCGTCTCTGCTGTTGTCTGTGCTGTTGTCTGTGCTGTTTTCTGTGCTGTTGTCTGTGCTGTCGTCTCTGCTCTTGTCTGTGCTGTCGTCTCTGCTGTCGTCTCTGCTCTTGTCTGTGCTTCTGTCTGTGCTGTCGTCTCTGCTGTCGTCTCTGCTCTTGTCTGTGCTGTTGTCTGTGCTGTTTTCTGTGCTGTTGTCTGTGCTGTTGTCTGTGCTGTCGTCTCTGCTCTTGTCTGTGCTGTTTTCTGTGCTGTTGTCTGTGCTGTCGTCTCTGCTGTCGTCTCTGCTGTCGTCTGTGCTGTTTTCTGTGCTGTTGTCTGTGCTGTCGTCTCTGCTGTTGTCTCTGCTGTTGTCTGTGCTGTTGTCTGTGCTGTTTTCTGTGCTGTCGTCTCTGCTCTTGTCTGTGCTGTTGTCTGTGCTGTTTTCTGTGCTGTTGTCTGTGCTGTCGTCTGTGCTGTCGTCTCTGCTCTTGTCTGTGCTGTCGTCTCTGCTGTCGTCTGTGCTGTTGTCTGTGCTCTTGTCTCTGCTGTCGTCTCTGCTGTCGTCTCTGCTCTTGTCTGTGCTGTTGTCTGTGCTGTTTTCTGTGCTGTTTTCTGTGCTGTTGTCTGTGCTGTTGTCTCTGCTCTTGTCTCTGCTCTTGTCTGTGCTGTCGTCTCTGCTGTCGTCTCTGCTGTCGTCTGTGCTGTTGTCTGTGCTGTTTTCTGTGCTGTTGTCTGTGCTGTCAGCCCAGCCAGTGAAGCAAACACACACATTTTAATAATCAGTATCTTGCAGTAGACAAAGAGAAGAAGTATCAACCTGTTGTTGTACCCTGGTGCATGCTGGAATCAGCACACAGACAACTAGTAGAACAAGTGTCATTTACCTTATTAAATTCATGACAGCAACTGGGTCATTTTTTCCTCTCCACTCTCTGTTCGCTGTCTAACTTTGAACTCTGGGGATCTAATACTGTTTGAATATTCCACGGTCTATTAACTCATGTCCTAATAACATTTCTTGATCGGAGGTTTGATCAGAGGAAGTTAATTTGATGAGCCTCTTCGACGGCTGAACTGATGCTGAAACGTTCCCGGTGGGGTGGCACACGTGACAGCGACTCCTGAGCACAATGTCCCACTTTTGCTTCCACAGCAGCTGCTTGAGGAGTGACTGTTTGGACACTAAGCCTTGTCACTTCTGCCCTGTTCCATCTACCTGCCTGTCTGTCCACTCTGTCTCTCCAGATCAACAACAAGACCAATGTGGTCACCAGTCCTAAAGAGCCTGTCCCCACTCCTTCTCTGGTACACTGTCTGCCTGCCTTGCTGCCTGTGTTTGCATGACTCTGTCTCTAACTGTAGATCTTTCATTACTTCTGCTCTGTGTAATATTTTACTTTCTGTTGTCGATGGTCACTGTTGTTTTCTTGTTCTTTCCATTTGAAACGTCTTTGTTGTGACATGAGGGTTGCTTTGTACATTGCTCCATTGCTACACATGGGCTACATTCTCCTTTGTTGTTGATGCCAGCTGTAATGGTACTGGGACCATTGCAAGCCAGCTGTGGCTAATACACTGTTGGTTGTTATTGCATTGAGACAATTAAGGTATGAAGATGGAGGAGTTCCTCGATGTTAGAGGCCGGCAGGTACAAAGGTCGCTGTTAGCAAAGCAGAAGGGAAACAGATCCGACTCATAAAACCAGATTTATGAAACACGCCAAAGTCAAATCACAAGTTGTAGTTTTCTTACACCCCCAGCTGGATGCCAGTATTCACACTAAAGTTCACCTCCTTCATGACCCTAATATATCCTCACCAGAGTGTCTGCTAGGTGCACCTCTGTACAACTGCTCATCAACACAAGTATCCAATCAGCAAGCTACATAGGAGAAACTCAGTGGGTGGGGGTCAAGACGGGCTGCTGAAGTTCAGAGCATCAGAACATCGAAGAAAGACAGTTTTAAAAAGCGTGGGTAGAAAAGCTGGATGGGCTGCAGTGTGTATTTTGGAAACTGCTGATCCACTACGGTTTCCCACCCAACAATCTCCTGGCTTCACAGACAATAGTACCAAAAAGAGAAAATATCCGGTGGGCGGTAGTTCTTTGGGCCAACAATGTCAGAGCAGGATGGCCAAACTGCTTCGAGTTGATAAGAAAGCAACAGTGAGTCAAATAACCACTGATTATGCCCAAAGTATGCAGAAGAACATGAAATGGGGCTGTTTTCTTTGAGCACTATTTCAACAGCACAGCCGCCCTGAGTGTCCACCCATCTTATGACAGCTGGTTCCAACTGGTTAATGTCTCGTACTGGGATCAGTCCAGACCAGAGCACCACTGGGATGTGGTGCAGCATTATTTGGACCTGCAGCTGCACAATGCTGTTGTGTCAGTGTGGACAGGAAGCTCCAAACCTTGTTGAATATATGCCACAAAAGGCGTACCTAATAAAGTGTCTGGCAGAGGAGAACATAAGTAGATTTTTTATAAACAATAACCTCACGTGGACCTGAAATTGATCTCATCTTCAAGTCTAGAGAACAGTTGTGAGGTATTTTGTTCTGGCACCCGTTCATGTCCAGGCTTTAAGAACAGTCTAGTTTAAATATGTGTTAGTCCCTGTAGTCTCCTCTGCATTTAACCCACCCACACAGTGAGTGGGCAGCACCCACACAGAGTGGGCAGCACCCACACACTGAGTGGGCAGCACACAGTGAGTGGGCAGCGCCCGGGGAGCAATGTGTAGGGACAGTACCTCAGGGTAGCTGTTCAGTGGATTCAAACCCCCAGCCTTCTGTCCGTATCTGATTGCAATGATCAGTTCATGAGTTGACAAACCCGTCACATGTGCTGGAATCACAGACGTGATTGGTGATTAAAGCTTGTCTTTAAATGGATATCAGAGCTTCTTGTGTTTTCAACCCCAGGTTCATAAATGAGACAGACGTCAGTCCACTCAACAAATCTGCATCCTTCTCTAAATGTCCCTCACTAAGTCTGATAATGCAAACATGCAGTTCAGATTAATACTTCCAGGTTCCTGCACCAATATAAGAGTGGGGCTCGTGTAGCACAGTGGCAGAGCTCACTCACAGCTTCACCCTGTTGACAGGAGTTGGTCTGCCTCAGGTTCGCAGCTGCTGAGTTTGGAGTTGACATGCAGGGAAACCGTCCTGATCACGTGTCTCTTTATAGAAGTACTTTGATGCTTCAGTGAGCGTTCAGCTCTTTACAAACATTACACCACCATGTGTGTTCCTGTCGTTGTCATCCTGGCACTAAGCAGAACCATCTGTGGGTGTCGTCGCAGCTTTCAGTGCCAAATCATCTCGTGTCTGCAGTCGTAGTCATTGCTGTAGTTGCAGTTTTGTTTGTAGTGATGACCTGTTTTCCCTAAATAGCAGCTGTTAAACTTCCCTTCACTGCTTTCACTTGAGTCCATTTTGCTGAACGCCTGCGTGCCAGTCTTACTAATCGACTTTCACTCAACGTCTCCTCCTCCTCTCAAATCAGGAGCCTCAAACCACTGTTATCCACAACCCAGCTGATGGAAATAAGGTACACGGCTGATCGCCTGCTGATCTGAAGCTGCTGCTGCTGTTCGTCACCATTTAGACTAGAAGTTTAATGCTGCTTCTGATGATGGTGTTTGTGTGCCGTTGCTCTAATTCAACGTCATGCAAGAAAACAGCCGAGAGATCTGTGAAATACTGCACGTTATAAACTGTTGCATGTAATCATTTGGACGTAATCTTGGTCATCTGCTTACTGTGACGAATATCATGTTTAATGTTTAAATTGTGCATCGTGCTGAGGTTGTTTCTTTGGAGAAGCATCATCATGTGCTGTGACCAAGCAGCTGTGCATGTTGTTGGACACAGCAAAGAGACAGCACAAGGATACCAGAGCCATCCTCAGTGCTTCTCACAGTGTTGTGCAAACGTATGGATCTACATCAGCGCGTAAATCCATAAGACATAGACAGAAATGCATGCTTGTGTTATTGCTTTGTGGAGTGAGGATATTGTGATAGCTCATATGTTATATGTGCGTAGTCTGCTGTGTAGATGCATATGCAAGCTGGTAGGGCTGCACGATTTTGCATAAAATGAGAATCACAATTTTTTTGGCTTAGAATTGAGATCACGATACTCTCACGCTTCTCTTTTCCAGTATAAATATTTATTGCACTTATTAACTGCACATCAACTTCGTAACAGTTGAGACTGAACATAAAAACAATAAATAAACATAAAACAACAAATGTCTCACGTTTTGTTGTTGCAGCAAAATGTTGTCCTGCTTGAAATTCCGTCTCCACCGTTGCTCGACGCTGCGTGTACAGAGCAGGTAGTGCAACAATAGAAAAATAGTTGCGGGACGGCACTGTGTAGCGTTCGTCTAGGGTGTTGATCGTTTTCCTAAATCCCTCGTTTTGCACAGTGTTGATGGAGCCATATCTTTGGTCAGGTGATAAGTGACAGCCTCCGTGATGTCTTTGTGCCTGCGGGAGTTCGACGGGTATAGGGAAGCGCTGTATAAGGTTCCCGTTATTGATGTTTGGGTGGTTGACCGGGACGGATTTTCTCCTGTCACTTTCTCGTCATCCCTGACGTGCTCTCCGTTGTTGTTTCCCTGCTAATTTTAGCATCACACGGCACAGCTTCTGTATCACGTGGTATAAGGCTCCGCCCTTGTCATTTGTTGAGCAGGAAGAGTGAGCGCTTGTTTTCATGCAGAGTATGTCCCGGGTCAAAATGCGGTACAATCGTCGTCTTTTTTAAAAAAAAAAAATTTAATCGTTGTCATTTGGAAATGAGATCGCACATAAGTATGAATCGAGATCGCGATTTTCTAACGATTAATCGTGCAGCCCTACAAGCAGTTGTTTCATGTGAACAAGGATACAACATATTAAAGGGTTGAGGATGCTGCTAAAGATAAAACTGCCTTAATGAGACAAAGTATTTCAAACATGTCCACTTTAATCACATTTTGATGCCAAGTCCACTGTTAAGCTTCAAATGATAACACAAAACAACATTTTGGTCCCTGAAAGAAGAAATTATTGAATATATGAAGCTTTGAAAGTAAGAGATTTCACCTTTCGTAAGACTTCAAAAAGGCAAAAAGCGGGAAAACCAACGTTGGTAATGAGTAACAAGTCCTGACAAGGTCATTTTTGTCTCATCTGATTTTAAACTATCGTTTTGAGCTACACAACACTGAGACATGATTTCTGAGAAAGCCAAACAAATGTCTTCAGCATTGGCTTTGGCCATCTGCTCAATCTGCTGATTTAACTCCAAGTTGTAACAGGTGTTCAAGTAGGTGATGGTGAAATGCCTGAACATGGAGCAAACTGATGTCAGTGAAACTGTTATACTCAGGCTTCCTCTGGTTTGTCCTTCTGCAGGAGTCCAGCGAGAGCGCCAACACGACCATCGAGGATGAGGACGTGAGAGGTAGGGCGGTCCAGATGTAAACTACACCTTGTTCACAGGATGACACTGCTTTGTTGTCTGTTTTTACACTAGTTAGTCAGTGAGTTCAATATATGTCTGAGTACTGACAAACACACAATGTGCCATCATCTGAAGAAACACAGGAACAGATGAAAAGCAAAATCTTTATTTATCAGGAAGCATGTATAATGTAAACAGAATTGGTCCTAGCACTGAACCCTGTGGAACTCCATAACTAACCTCAGTGTGTGAAGAGGACTCTCCATTTACATGCACAAACTGGAGTCTATTAGATAGATATGATACAAACCACTGCAGTGCAGTACCTGTAATACCTACAGCATGTTCTAATCGCTCTAATAGGATATTATGGTCAACAGTATCGAACGCTGCACTGAGGTCTAGCAGGACAAGCACAGAGATGAGTCCACTGTCAGAGGCCATAAGAAGATCATTTGTAACCTTCACTAAAGCTGTTTCTGTGCTGTGCTGAGCTCTGAAACCTGACTGAAACTCTTCAAATAAGCCTCTGCAGATGATCTGTTAGCTGTTTGACAACTACTCTTTCAAGGATGCTTGATATGAAGGATTGATGACAGCTGGCTCACAGATGGCTTTTTCAGTAGCTGTGGTTCAGTGAATTTAATGTCAAATCCAGTGCCGTTAATTTCTCTCCCAGTCTCTTGCATCTCGTGTTTAAAGGAGCTGATGTGTGTCTGTTGTGTGTTCGCTACAATTGTGACCTTTTGATAGAGCAGATTCTCAATCATTCACATAATTCAGATGTATTAATGTGCATGCCAGCCTATACACGAGACCTTTGCTTTACAATGGCCTCCATTGTTGCTCGTCCCTGTTTCTCTGTTGCATAACTGACATTAGTGCGTGATGCTAACCTTTTGCGCCCAGAAGAAGTTGTAACGATTGACGTCCTGTAGCCTCCACGGACCGTGATCTTCACAGATGACGTTATGATTTGTAGAGAAGAGAAAAGGGAGCCTGGAGAAGTGAAGTTATGCTCTGCAGATGAGAGGAAGTCATTAAAAACACGCGTGTAAATGAAATCAGATGAAGATGCACTTAAATGCCAACACACGGTGAACAAGAAGAACAGGCGGGCTGGAGTGGGCAAAGCTGAGTGTCAGGGATGACTGGTGATCTCAAGAGTGAAAGGGAAGGTGGTGCAGGAGCTGGAGGTGGCAGAGATCACTGGGGGTGACCAGGACGAAGAAGGTCAGAAATGAGCCAATCAGAGCGATGGCTGAGAGTGAGGGTATGCAGATAGAGAGCTGAGGGGGACAAAAGAGGGTGAATATGCAGTTGGCAGGCAAAAGGAGAAGAGGAGGAGCACAGATGAGATTCAGGGATGTGGTACAGCGTGGGCACCGGGGTCACCTTACATCACTGCATCGTTCCTCCATGAACATCGCTGTGCATGCTGTCATTTCCTGCACGCCTTTCATGTTCAGTGTTCTTCATCTTCTGTTTTCTCCATCTCACTCTCCTCTTCGTTCCTCCTCCATCTCCATCTCATTCTCCTCTTCGTTCCTCCTCCATCTCCATCTCATTCTCCTCTTCATTCCTCCTCCATCTCCATCTCATTCTCCTCTTCATTCCTCCTCCATCTCCATCTCATTCTCCTCTTCATTCCTCCTCCATCTCCATCTCACTCTCCTCTTCGTTCCTCCTCCATCTCCATCTCACTCTCCTCTTCATTCCTCCTCCATCTCCATCTCATTCTCCTCTTCATTCCTCCTCCATCTCCATCTCATTCTCCTCTTCATTCCTCCTCCATCTCCATCTCATTCTCCTCTTCATTCCTCCTCCATCTCCATCTCACTCTCCTCTTCATTCCTCCTTCATCTCATCTCCTCTTCGTTCCTCCTCCATCTCCATCTCACTCTCCTCTTCATTCCTCCTCCATCTCCATCTCACTCTCCTCTTCATTCCTCCTCCATCTCCATCTCATTCTCCTCTTCATTCCTCCTCCATCTCCATCTCATTCTCCTCTTCATTCCTCCTCCATCTCCATCTCATCTCCTCTTCATTCCTCTCCATCTCCATCTCACTCTCCTCTTCATTCCTCCTTCATCTCACTCTCCTCTTCATTCCTCCTTCATCTCCATCTCACTCTCCTCTTCATTCCTCCTCCATCTCCATCTCATTCTCCTCTTCATTCCTCCTCCATCTCCATCTCATTCTCCTCTTCATTCCTCCTCCATCTCCATCTCACTCTCCTCTTCATTCCTCCTTCATCTCATTCTCCTCTTTGTTCCTCCTCCATCTCATCTCACTCTCCTCTTCATTCCTCCTCCATCTCCATCTCATTCTCCTCTTTGTTCCTCCTCCATCTCCATCTCACTCTCCTCTTCATTCCTCCTTCATCCCATTCTCCTCTTCATTCCTCCTCCATCTCCATCTCATTCTCCTCTTCATTCCTCCTCCATCTCCATCTCACTCTCCTCTTCATTCCTCCTCCATCTCCATCTCATTCTCCTCTTCATTCCTCCTCCATCTCCATCTCACTCTCCTCTTCATTCCTCCTCCATCTTCATCTCACTCTCCTCTTCATTCCTCCTTCATCTCATTCTCCTCTTCATTCCTCCTCCATCTTCATCTCATTCTCCTCTTCATTCCTCCTCCATCTCCATCTCATTCTCCTCTTTGTTCCTCCTCCATCTCCATCTCACTCTCCTCTTCATTCCTCCTCCATCTCCATCTCACTCTCCTCTTCATTCCTCCTTCATCTCCATCTCATTCTCCTCTTCATTCCTCCTCCATCTCCATCTCATTCTCCTCTTCGTTCCATCTCCATCTCCATCTCACTCTCCTCTTCATTCCTCCTTCATCTCCATCTCATTCTCCTCTTCGTTCCTCCTCCATCTCCATCTCACTCTCCTCTTCATTCCATCTCCATCTCCATCTCACTCTCCTCTTCATTCCTCCTCCATCTCCATCTCATTCTCCTCTTCGTTCCTCCTCCATCTCATTCTCCTCTTCGTTCCTCCTCCATCTCATTCTCCTCTTCGTTCCTCCTCCATCTCATTCTCCTCTTCGTTCCTCCTCCATCTCATTCTCCTCTTCGTTCCTACTTCATCTCAATCTCATTCTCCTCTTCATTCCTCCTCCATCTTCATCTCATTCTCCTCTTCATTCCATCTCCATCTCATTCTCCTCTTCGTTCCTACTTCATCTCAATCTCATTCTCCTCTTCATTCCATCTTAATCTCATTCTCCTCTTCATTCCATCTTCATCTCATTCTCCTCTTCGTTCCTCCTCCATCTCCACCCATCCTCTGATTTCTCCATCTCAGCACCGTCCCCCTGCCCCAGTCTGCAGATCTACCACCTTAAGCACTTGGACCCCTTCACTTCTCACCTGCCTTCATCCAGCTGCCTCTTACCCACCCCTTGCCTTTCGTGCTCTTTGTCTTCATCGTCTTCTGCTTCGTCCTCCTCTTCTTCCGTCTCCTCCTGCTGGTTCTCTCCCAGTGTTTGGCCCAGTGGTGAGGAGTGCTGCCAGTATATCCTGCGGGCACTGGCGGCCGCCTTCGTGCTCCTCTTCTTCACGTCGTCCTTTATGATCCTTTTCACTGACCATCACACCATGTGTCACTGCGGCCCCCAAACATGCTCACAAGACCCCGGCCCCCAGAGTGGCGTGCCCCTCAGTGACTCCATCGACTCCCAGTGTAAGTCGCCCTCCTTAATGCCTGAAGCTGTCACCTAATTGTTGATAATATCTGAAAATGTCTCTGAGCAGGGATGAAGAACATAATGACTGATGTGATCCAGATCAGGACCTTTGTCTCACGCTCTGTTAGAAAGCTTCCTCACAGCAGTGTGTGCCGTTAGCTCTGCTTCTTTAGACGCCAACTTAGAATCAGCTCCAACAGGTGAAGAGCGAGCGATGGATGTTTGCTGACCAGACTGTTTATGCATTCAACCAAACCAGTTTCCCTGCTGCTGTGGGACAGCGCCACTCACTGGTCACTGTCACCACTACACTTTGTCCTTTTTGCTTTGGCAGCTTTTGGGTTGGAGGTTTTGACTCATCCTGCTCATAAAATGAGTTGTTTCGTTTTCTTTAGAAAGCCTCTGATTAGAGTTTAGATCCTTATTGTCCCCTGTGAACATAATGACTGCTGATTGTCTTTGTGCTTTATTACAGACTGTTTTTGTCCTGACTAAATCTGTCATAGGGAAAATGTGACTGATTACCTGTAAACCAACTTTGGATTTATTATTTTGCAAGATTCCAGAAAGAAAAAGCAGAAAAGGAGCGTTTAGGTGATCGTGTTCATAAATGATGTTAAAGACGCTGAGGGTGTGTAGTTCTGTGTCGTTCCTGTGTAGGGCCGCATTAAACATTTGCTTCATTTGTTCATAAAGTTAATAATGATGGTGAGAAACCACAGCAGCCCCTGAGCTGTTGTTTCTTTTTGTGTTGTTGTTAATAATAAGTATTAAATTAGACTTTATCAGTCACAAGCCTTTAAAGTAAACGGGAGTGACTCAGCATTCTGACTCCTGCTTCACCTCTAGCCGTGTCCAAGTACTTGCCAAATGTTGCCTTTAATTTTCCTGTTATTCAATGAAACCATTTCCTTCATACTATTCTGACTGAGTCATCTCACCCGTCCTACCCGAGTCTCGCCAACACTCGGCGTGTTCTCCGTGACCACATCCTGAATCTCCTCCGTGGTGTGCCTCTGTTCCTCCTGCCTCCATATTCACCATCTGATGTTCACATTTCTAATCGTGTCCATGCCACAGTCACAGCATCTCCAGTTCTGCTCCAGCTTCGTCTCCTTTCTTTGGTGATGTGATCTCCAAAGCGTACATGATAGCAGGTCTCACTTGCATCTTGTAAATCTCGCCTTTTCCTGCTCTCCTTCTGTCATAAGTAGCCCCTGATATCACTGCCTCGCCCTGCCTGCACTCTACCTGCTCCTCCACCTGCTCCACCCCACCCTTTGCAGCTTCAGCCTCATGGCACCTTAAACCCATCTGCCACCCCTGACTTCCTCATGCTCATGTGCTTTCTATAGATGTGCAGAGACACATTGCAGCTCCTTTGATCATCACAATCAGTGTTTTCAAATCAAACCGCACATCTGTAGCGCACAAGAAGCCATACTGCTGCTCGCTGATCGTCACCTCTCCTCCATGGTTATCTCCCATACTGACGAACTTACGAGTGATCAGAAACATTGGAAATAATCAACACCAAATTGAACCCAACCCTGTGTGCTTCTTCTTTGCATGATGGTGAAATATAGTTTCATTGCACGTTGCATGGATGGTTTTAATATCCATGCCATTTTATTAGGGAAGTGTTAGGTACCTTAATACCTAATAGGGTACTTAATAATAGGTACCATAACCTTAATAAGGTAGCAACAAGTGAAGCAACACTGTTGCTCCACATGTGGGAATATCTCATGGTACTTGCACTAGCAACAGAGGGTACAGAAAGAGGTTCCTCAAACACAGTGAGCACCCAGACATGAGGTGTTTCTGTGGAAGACTGTGGGAACGACACAGGAGTGACCAAACAGCCGGTCCATAGCACAAAGTAAGGAAACCATCTCTTCACGGCACGACGGACGGGCGGTTTGAGGGAGGAGCGACACATGTCGAACTGGAACATCACCAGAGGTGCTTACAGCACCAACTGTCAGCCATCTATCACACAGTCCTGAAATCCCTGCTTTGATGGATGAATGGAGCAAACATGAAAACGTCCCGACACATAAACCTGCGCTGACACGATCGCCTCAGAGATGAAGTATCTGGACTCCCATCAGCATGTAGAACTTGGTGCTTCTGGACTGGAGGTGCAAATAGTTCACACAACAGTAGCGTGTTATTAGTCGTGGTCTGGTGTTTGATGGCTATTCAGCCACTCAGTGACCTACACGCTGAGCTCCAAGTAAAGTTCTGGTTGTCGTTTAGGAGCAACGTCGTTGGCAGATCTTAGTCTGACCAGAATGAACCTTGTTATAAAACTCTCATTAGTAAGAAGAAAACCGTCTGTGAACTGGTCACCCTGGAGTTCAACTGCCAGCCTTTCACAGAAGCAGCCAATGACCCGGTGCAGTTGTTGAAGATGCTGTCTTTGGGTTATGTTGTGCAGTAAGATTCTTGTTACGTCTGCACTGTTTGACTTGATCATGTTGTGTGACTCTCTTTCACTAGTGCTTGCATGCAAAGCCACATCAGTACTTATTGTGTCCATTCATTGTTTCCTAGCTAACCTTCTTAGCACGAAAGGTAATGTTATCGAACCAAGCTGACCACACTGACCTCCCAGCTTTTCCTCCATCTCCATGTAACATTGTGCTATTTAAGGTGGAGCCCACGCTCATGCTGTGACGATGAACTCATGCTGTCTTTGTGTTCCTGTTTTTAACCTTTAACTGTGTTTTCATTATGTCAAAGCTGTCCAGATATCCCAAACTAAAGCGATGTGTCTCTGTCCCTCAGCTCGAAAGCAGGAGATCATCAAGGCCACTGAGCAGCTGATTGAGGCCATTAACAATGGAGACTTTGAAGCCTACACGTTAGTCATTAAAGTACTTGTCAGTAAACTCTCACACGTTCATATGTTTCCATAAAGCTAATGAATGTGTTGCCTGTGTTCTTTCAGGAAGATATGTGATCCTGGTCTCACATCCTTTGAACCTGAAGCCTTGGGTAACCTGGTGGAGGGCACAGACTTCCACCGCTTCTACTTTGAGAACGGTACAGTGTTCCTGCGGGACATGGTCTGATGAAGCATCGTAGCTGTCCCAGTTTAGGCTCACATTTCCTGTAAGAAGTGCATCGCGTGCAGAAGCCACTGTGGAGAGTGACTGCATCCCTTTGTGTTGCACTGCCTCATTCACCACCTGTTGCAGCTCTGACTCATCTATTGTCTTTATTACGTTGGTGTTACATTGGTGTTACGTTGGTATCACGTTGGTGTCATGTTGGTATCACTTTGGTGTTACGTTGGTATCACTTTGGTGTCACGTTGGTGTTACGTTGGTATTACGTTGGTGTCACGTTGGTGTCACGTTGGTGTCACTTTGGTATCACTTTGGTGTTACGTTGGTGTCACGTTGGTGTTACGTTGGTGTCACGTTGGTGTTACGTTGGTGTTACGTTGGTGTCACGTTGGTGTTATGTTGGTGTCACTTTGGTGTTACGTTGGTGTCACGTTGGTGTCACGTTGGTGTTACGTTGGTATCACGTTGGTGTCACGTTGGTGTTACGTTGGTATCACGTTGGTGTCACGTTGGTGTTACGTTGGTGTCACGTTGGTGTTACGTTGGTGTCACGTTGGTGTTACGTTGGTATCACGTTGGTGTTACGTTGGTGTCACGTTGGTGTTACGTTGGTGTCACGTTGGTGTTACGTTGGTGTTACGTTGGTGTCACGTTGGTATCACGTTGGTGTTACGTTGGTGTCACGTTGGTGTTACGTTGGTGTCACGTTGGTGTTACGTTGGTATCACGTTGGTGTTACGTTGGTGTCACGTTGGTGTTACGTTGGTGTCCGTGGTGTCACGTTGGTGTTACGTTGGTATCACGTTGGTGTTACGTTGGTGTCACGTTGGTGTCACGTTGGTGTCACGTTGGTGTCACGTTGGTGTCACGCTGGTGTCACGTTGGTGTTACGTTGGTGTCACGTTGGTGTCACGTTGGTGTCACGTTGGTGTCACGTTGGTGTTACGTTGGTATCACGTTGGTGTTACGTTGGTATTACGTTGGTATCACGTTGGTATCACGTTGGTGTTACGTTGGTGTCACGTTGGTGTCACGTTGGTGTCACGTTGGTGTTACGTTGGTGTCACGTTGGTATCACGTTGGTATCACGTTGGTGTCACGTTGGTATCACGTTGGTGTTACGTTGGTATCACGTTGGTATCACGTTGGTATCACGTTGGTGTCACGTTGGTGTCACGTTGGTGTCACGTTGGTGTCACGTTGGTATCACGTTGGTATCACGTTGGTGTTACGTTGGTATCACGTTGGTGTTACGTTGGTGTCACGTTGGTGTTACGTTGGTATCACGTTGGTGTCACGTTGGTGTCACGTTGGTATTACGTTGGTGTCACGTTGGTGTTACGTTGGTGTCACGTTGGTATTACATTGTCTCGTGAAACAACGTGGAGCGTTGTGGACTTCTCTGCTGTAGCGATGAATCTCCTGAGTCCAAGCCATGAAAATGGTAAAGGGCACACTGGCTTGTGCAGCATGTTTGGACATGAAATGCTGGTTGGGCAGCAAAACCAACATTTACCACAACAGAAAGCAGTTGTTAATCAAGAGCAACAAATTCAACCAGTTCACCTGGTTGCTCTCTGGAGCGGGTTTCCTCGTGCGTCCCAGTGTTTTCCAGCACTGTTGGTTGATGCAGGTCATTTTCTTAGTATCTGAGGCCTGGATATATTCAGTGTATTTCCATGTTTCCGCAAAAGTTCAGCCGTGTTTGTGGTGTTACTTTCCAACACGCTAACACCCTGTCTAAAAAACCAAACTTGTCTTGCATAAATTACTCTGTACAGTCTTGGGTTTTGTCTTCGTTTAAGTCTGAGAAGCAGCTGCATGCTGCTGCCACACCAGCAGGTCGACACCAGAGCTCAGTCAGCTGATGCATCAGCGTTTTATACGTTTTGTTAAGACTTTAAGCCAGATTTGTCGCTCACTTCAGTCATTTAGATGTGACTGATGCTGGATATTGGCTTGGTGCATAGCTAATACCTTCTATGAAATGTAAATGTAATTTAAGAAACTAACTGTTAACAGAGTTAATAGTTAGTTTCTTAAAAAAAATAGAGCCACTGAAGCCTCTTTCAGTTGTTATATGCCGAGCAATTTCACATATTTGTAATTATTAATAATGCATCGGATGCTTTAAAGCTAATATGTGGTCCCTGTCGAGTGTTTGGTTGTGTCACAGTGTTGTTGTCCTCTGCAGCTCTGTCTAAGGGGAAGCAGCCCATCCACACCATCCTGCTCAACCCTCACGTCCACCTCATAGGCGATGACGCCGCCTGCATTGCCTACATTCGCCTCACCCAGTACATCGATAGCAGCGGCATGCCTCGCACCATGCAGTCAGAGGAGACTCGCATCTGGCACCGCCGTGACAGCAAGTGGCAGAATATCCACTTCCACCGCTCCGGCTCTCCCACCGTTCCCACCAAGTAAGATCGCCACCAGATTGCTTATAATGTTTAGACACGTAGGAACAGTTTTAATGAGTGTGTAGCATCAAGTCAGTTAAACCCCAGGGATATTGATCTGATCAGTGTAGTGGGAGAGAGTGGGCTGATGGATCAGGTACAGCTCCTTAACCATAGGTAGGCCAGAGAGCCAGCAGTGAGACAACCCCCCAACAGGAAAGGTTTTAATGGTGACGGCCATTGACGTGTTTCCCTTGTCATCTTTTCTCACTGTTTATTCCCCAGTTTTGCATTTGGCTCGGGTCAGTGTCGCTGCTGTTAGCATGAAACAATATCTAGACCAGGGTCGGCACCTCCGGGCCTCGAGGGCCTGCAGGTTTGAGATGTGTCCTTGATCCAACACAGCTGATTTAAGTTCTCCAGAGGCCTGGTGATGAACTAATCATCTGATCCAGGTGTGTTGACCCAGGGAATTACAGAGGTTGCACAAATAGTCCAGAACATCAACATATGCTGGGAGACACAGAAACCCTCTCAGGTGTTTTAAGCAACCGGCCGACGAGTAAACATGCTCTTCTAACACTCTCGAGACACAAAGCGTTCCAAGTTTTGGTGTCGTAACCAGTAATGTTGGTGCTTTTGTGTAGAGATCATTCTGCATGTGCTGGTGTTGGTTGATCGGACGAACATGTTTGTTTAAATCACCACCCTGCTCGATTTCCAGAATAAAACAGCAGGCTGCTCCTCCGTCACATGGACATCTGACCACAGTCTGGACAAAGTATTCGAGAACAGCGTTAAACATTCAAACGAGACAAAGTTTCCCTTTAACAGCTTGACACGTATTCCACGTCTAACGAGCCGTAATGCCCAGTAACTAGATCAGAGCAGTGGGTGAAGCTGACTGTGTGGGTTTGTGTCTGACTGTGCTCCACTTTCAGCTGAGATGACCTCCACCACCTTCCAGCTGACTGACTTCTGCTGTCTTTCCATCGGATGCCCAAGCCACGCCTCCCCCTCGTTTGCTAGCGCTCTGCCCTCTCAGTGTGTTGTTTACATTGTCGCTGCTGAACTGAAGTTTATTCTAAATGTAAAGGAGTTCACACTTTGACAACATCACTTTGTAGAGAGAGTGCAGGGTGTTCAACATATCTCTGTTTGCAGCATTTTTATTACTGGTTTCTTGATATATTCTTTTTTAAATAGAAGTGGACTCTAATGGTGCCACTGGTTCCACTTGATTTTAATGGGCTAGTCTGTGAAGCTCCCAGTCAGGATTACACATGTTGTGCTATTGTGATATTTTTACCTTTTGGCACAATGACCGATATCAAACTTTTTAATCACGTTTCTGTTTCCAGACACAAGCCTGCTTTGTTTGGCTGATCCATAGATTTTGGTAATCATGTAATTTGCTCTTTGCTTGATCCATATGAGTTGACTTATCTTACTGATGTATGTTTACTAGGAACTGTAACTACATGTTTAAAAGGGAAACCGTTTGTTTTAGTGAGTTCGGTCATCACGGAGCATCGTGGGAGGAAGTGTAGACATAGATTCTTAAAGCCATTCTGACTCCTGCCAGTCACATTTTCATACAATAATAAGTTAATTATGTGAATCTGTTTGTTTACATTTTACAGTGTGATATTGATGCCTGTCCTTCTCCTCACTTACCTTTAAGAACATCCTCCGTATTTCATCCTCTGCTTAAAGTCGAACCCTGTTTAACCGTGTAAATCAGTTTGCTAAGTTTCATCACTGACCGGGTTACTCATGCTCAACACTCATTATGTTACGCTATAGTTATTTTAGTGCCACCATCTGACTGAAAGGGAAACGGTTGTTGTGGAGATCACAGGGAACAAACTTTAATTCCAGATTGAATTGAGTGCAGAGGAAGCCGTTAAAGACAGTCACAGGTGTGTTTTTGTGTATTAAATAATCACTGAAATATTTAGAGAACTGCTTCGTATTGATTTCTTTGATCACATTTGTCCATTTCAAAGGACACTTTGGGTTTATCTTTGTGATTGAACTGTATGATGGGCTGCTGGTATTTAATGTTGCCATGATGGGCCAAGCCTGATGTTTAAGAAATCTCAAATAAAATGTGATTTATGCCAATGAGCGATTTGTTTTTTCATTCCTTATGTGAACTCTGCATCAGTGATATTTCTGAAGTTTTGCTGCTGATGTTTAGCTTTGATATTTCTTTTTGTGCTTTGATGCTGATTGTGAAAAATCCTGCTGAACCTGCCCGCCCCCGCCCCTTCATCCTCACTCGGTTTCAGCAGATGCCGCCCCTCCCTGACTTATTCCTGTTAAAAAGGGGTTTTTCTTTCCTCCTCCTGTCACCAAGCTCTTGCTCGTTGGGGTTTTCTCTGTTATTGTGGGGTCTTTACAGTATAAAGCAGTAATTTTGTTGTGATTTGGAGCTGTAGAAATAAAACTGAACTAAAACAAAATGTTGAAATAATTTGATGTAAAAATGACCAAGTTACCTTCACATCTTTTAGAGTTTTTCACTCAACTCTTGGTACCCCTACAGCTTCTCGTGTTCCTTCTTCCTGATGTTGCTGTCATTCGGAACCGCTACATCGATCACTACGGCCGTCTTCTTCTGTTTGTCTACCACCACTATGTCCGGTTGGTTAGCCACCACCATTTTGTCCGTCTGTATCTGGAAGTCCCACAGGATCTTAGCTCGGTCATTCTCCACCACCCTTGGGGGCATCTCCCATTTTGACCTCGGGACTTCCAGGTTATACTCGGCACAGATGTTCCTGTACACTATGCCGGCCACCTGGTTATGGCGTTCCATGTATGCCTTGCCTGCTAGCATCTTGCACCCTGCTGTTATGTGCTGGATTGTCTCTGGGGCATCTTTACACAGCCTGCACCTGGGGTCTTGCCTGGTGTGATAGACCCCAGCCTCTATGGATCTTGTGCTCAGAGCTTGTTCTTGTGCTGCCATGATTAGTGCCTCTGTGCTGTCTTTCAGTCCAGCTTTGTCCAGCCACTGGTAGGATTTCTGGATATCAGCCACCTCCTCTATCTGCCGGTGGTACATACCGTGCAGGGGCCTGTCCTTCCATGATGGTTCCTCGTCTCCCTCCTCTTTCTTGGGTTTCTGCTGCCTGAGGTATTCACTGAGCACTCGGTCAGTTGGGGCCATCTTCCTGATGTATTCTTGGATGTTCGTTGTCTCATCCTGGACTGTGGTGCTGACACTCACCAGTCCTTCCTTCTGCTTAGCGTACAGCCTCAGGGTGCTGGACTTGGGGTGAATGCATGCATCAAGACCATGCATGGTCAGTGGCTTCTATCTCCTCCTTTGGCCAGGTTATTACCCCAGCAGGGTACCTGATCACGGGCAGGGCGTACGTGTTGATGGCCCGGATCTTGTTCTTACCATTCAGCTGACTCCTCAGGACTTGCCTGACCCTCTGCAGGTACTTGGTGGTTGCAGCTTTCCTAGCGGCCTCTTCATGGTTTCCACATATAAGTAAATAAAAACATCTATATATAAACATAAACATAGTGACTACAACCCAAGACTAAAATCTATCCTGTGTATTTGTGTGCGAGTTAGCCAGATTACACAACCAAAGCTTGTGAAGAAGAGTTTACAAAGAGTTCTCAGGCTGTGTCAAAGGAAACACCTACTAACATCACGCACTAACACATACTACCACACAATCCCAATTCAAGAGAGTGGAGACGTGTAAATAAAAGCAGAACTTAATAAGAGAAAATATATCAGGTGTGCAACAGCAGCAACATGTCTCAAACAACGTTGGTCAGCAAGCAGCGTCTTAGAGGTTCACCGATGTGCAAAAGCACTGCTTAGAGTATCTATAATTTCACATTATTACACAGAATTATGTTTATGTCCCTACTTATGTTTGTTGCTCGTTGTGTTTTGCACCTACAAAACCTCGTAGACATCGAATTGACCACAAACTCCTCGAGTTCAATGTTATTACATAGCACCGAATCACAACAGTCTAAAAATGCTTTATATTGTCAGGTAATACAATACCTCATAAACCAAGCTGTTAATGTAAAACCTCTGTGCTAGCTGAGGTCCAACAGCTAAAGCAGGAAGGGGAACTCCAGGCCTCCAGTGTCCTGCAGGTTTTAGACGTGTCAGCTGATTCAGACTGCTGAAGGACCTCCTCTACATGTCTGGAGGTTCTCCAGAGGTAATGAACTGGTGTGTTGCAGGACTGCAGGACACCGGCCCTCGAGGCCCTCCCCACCCCGAGCTTAAGCCTGGCCAAAATCCCAAACACGTGAGCAGTAATCGAGCTTTTCACATATTTATGACCTCATGTTGTAAAGAACAGAGGACCAAAATACCTCCACAAACTCTGAGACTGATAAATGTGCATTCAAAGCAGCATATCTGACCCTCCTCTGTGTATCTCTGTAACATTCGTAGTATAAAGATTCAGGTTTTATCAGATACACTAAAATTAGCATAAGATAATACGAGTAAGTCTTCCCAAAGCTACAATCATAAAACCGTGTGTACAGTTGGCACTTTCTTCAGCATTAACCGATTTACAGAAAACTCACCTGCTGCAGGCTCAGTTCAGCTTTGACCAGTGTTCTCCCAGAACTCCCAGTGGACAGAAATATCCTTCGTCTTTGCCACAAACTCTTTGAAGTTATATGTGGTGAAAAAATGACAACGGGCATCATTCGAGACATGTACAGTTTTATTGTTGTGCCACAAACACACTGCAGCTCTTTTACCTCATTAGCATTTTTATTTTGATCATCTGATAAAGTCATACATGCCCGCATAAATATTTGCACTGTTAATATGTATATATTGTCATCACCATGGAATTAAGATGCTCCGTTATGAGATTGGTTTTATCTTTTTGACCTTTATTCTTCCAGTGGATCAAAGTAAATGGCAACATTGTTACATGGAAAATATGTAGATGAACAGCAAACACACGTAATCATGTCTGAATGCGTCGCAGCCGCCTTATAGCAACACAACTGTTTGTCTGCGATGGCAAAGGAACAAACAAAGGTTTACCTGTAGCTTCAAAATACATCCAAACTCTCTCTCACACACACACACACACAGCAATAAATAAAGAAACACAGGTGTCACAAATGAAGCGGGTAAAAGCCTCGGCCTGGGTTTAAAGTGGCTTTAACAGTGATGACAGGAAACAAGCAAATCCACGACTACATTATTTATGTGTTGAAAAACAAAACTAAAGGACAAGTCTGCTGTTACGTGTCTACAAATCTGACGAGAAGCCCAAAACCAACAGAGTGTTACTGGGACCATAACCAGACTCTAAAAGGACCCACTGGTTTCTGTTGGAGCGATCAGTTGATCTAATTAGAGCCTGTGGGCTGTTCATTTTCTCTTTAATCGCTACCAGAGGTCTCTTCCTGTTGATAGTTCTTCCTTCCGACTGTTACCAACTCATATGGTTTTTGCTCCAATGTCTATTTTCCGTCCATAATTTGCTAAACGAGCTTGAAGAACACTGAGACCATGAAACCTGTGATGCCATTTTTCCTAATAAATCAAAGGCAAACTGTCCATTTTCTCACAGACTCAACACTTCATTTTATATTAAAGTCAGTGTTGCAGGCTGGAGGAAATGTTGCTGCATGCATGGCCAATGACAGCTGTGTGCAGCAGAGGAGCAAAAGCAGAGCTGGCGTTGGGTTTTCCTGTAGATTTGTTGACAGTAACAGTCAAAGCTGCGCTTTAAAAGGTGTGGAAACGCTACGAGTAGCTGCAGGTAAGGAAAAGCACCAACATGAAGCACGAGGACATGAGTGCTGCACCGAAACATTCATCATCACTACTTTCTTTCTCCGTAGACACGGCACACACAGGTGACAGAAACAATGCTCCACACGTGCAGGAAGGACAGACGTGGATAAAGTAAGGGCAGATGACTAAAGGTGTGAGCACACAGCCTTTGTGAACAGATGGGCGGGTTGATGTCGGCTGAGTTTCTGATGATACGCATTCACACTTTATCTGGCATTAATCTCATGTGTACTGTGGCCGTTCTGCAGCTGGTGCATGTACAGCAGGTTCAGGTGGGCTAACGTGGTAAATGCTTTGAATTATTTCAGCTTCTTTCCAGTCCCAGCTTGACTTTTTGTCATCAACTCCCCTATGTACAAATGTTTACACGAGTTCTTCAAGAAGAGGCCGGTGCGTGAGGCGAAACATCCGAGACGCGCCTTTTCTTTCTAATCCGCCTTTGGTGCATCGTACCTACATCACATCAAAGCAGCCGCAGGAAGCGAAACACGAACAAAAATCATCAGGACGGTGAGGGGTGGCTATCTTTGGTCACAATCAGAGCGAACATCTATCGTTAAAGCACAAAAATACGGTTCCAATATCTGACAAACCAAAGAAGAAGAAAGAAAAACTCCAGTGATGAGCAGGGACAGAGGGCGGTTCGATCTGAGGAAGTGTACGTCACCAAAAGCTTCAGTGGAAAATGTAGATCAGTGGAAGCAGCTGCTCAGCTAAGGTTTTCATCCTCCTCCTCATCCTCGGTGTCCTCACAGTAGCGCTGGAGCAGTCGGTGCAGGTGCTGCTGCAGCGCATCAGGCTGCAGGGCATCTGCGGTGTTGTCCAGGCGCTCTAGGTGCACATGCTTCCCCTGAGCATCCCTCACCACGGTCCTCTTCTGGCTGCGTGAATTACGCATCTGGCTTCTGCAGGAACAGGAAACAGTAGTAGTTCATCCAGGATCACAGTAAGTGGCTGCAGACTGCCAGGCTCCACGTTTGTTTCATAAAGAACAATAAATGCATCACCTTCATTTCCATGTTAATGAATCATATCGCACCACATGATGCATCATGCTTTAACTGTTGTTTAAATATTTGCATCAGGATTTGAAATGTTTTTCTGATATTTCAGATTTCTAGAACCATCTAAACAAACTCAGAATCATTGTGTTGTTTCCTAAATCCCTAATAATTGTAACTGTATTGCATCTATACTCGTGTGGTTACATGGTGTTGTCACATCTAAAAGGATGCTGGTTTGAGTCCAGCTGGAGGCTTTGTTGTTGGATCAAATCAAATGTGGCGACGCCCTTTTAAAAGAATGATGTCACACATCATGTGGACTGAAATGAAAAACAAGTTCACTCTTATATTCACAGCCTGTTCTCTCTCTAGCCCGCTGGAACAAAACGTGGCTGAAACAAGCATCAGAAACCAGCAGAGCATAAGCAAACATTAGCATATGCTGCTGTCACTTTGCTTTATTACTCACTGGTTGTACCAGTAATGGCACCATTGTTTCATACCAGGAATGCCAGTAATGTGAAATATGTGTGTCTGCATCTATTATTGCTACACTGCACATCTCAGGATCTGATGAAAACAACAGAAGTTGTATAAATAATGTGCGCACGTGTCTCTTTTCTCCCTCACAGACAGTAAAGGTTAGGACAGTCACAGTGTGGTCACACAACACACTCATGCAGTCCAACCTTTTAACCACAGAACCGTCATCCTGTACAATCTCTTTCTCTACTATATGCGGCATTAGCACTTTTCCAAATCCTCCAGCGTAACTCATTGCCTGGAGGGGAAGAATGAGGAAAGACAGATCAAATGCTAGAAAGCTCTCAGGTTTTCTCAGCGCAGTGATAAAATGCCTGCATTACACCACGAGTGTCCTTTCATCCTCGAGGCGTCTAAAAACAAATATTATTCCCGAGCTGAAATCTTACTCACCTTCTCAAAGTCCTCTCTGGCTGAAGGCAGGTCTGCAGCCAGCGACGGGTCTCCTGTGTGCTTCTCCATCCTCTCGCCTCTCACCACAGTTGTCTTGACAACCTTGCTGACCTTTCTGCCCTGCACTGGCTCCACTTCAAACTCTGACGCTGTGGCAGCGCTCAGAGCCGGGGACTCTGAAAAGGTCAGCTGGGAAGGAAATACGATGTCACGGTTACTTTGAATAACAGTGGACTGAAGTACAGCAAAGACGTGCCTGCAGTTAACTGGATTTACAGTTAACTGGCTCACCCAAACACATCGGAGAGAAAGCGAGTCCATCAGAGACGTTAACTTGGGGTGAATTTCTTCCCCGAGGACATCAGGCATGCAGACTGATCTACCTGAGCTGCAGCCAGACCCTCCACTGGAGCCAGCATCCAGTTGGATTCAGGCTTAAAACCGTCACAGCTGCATCAGGAGGCCCTGAATGATCCCTTGGTTGAGTTTGTTAGACTAAGCAGTTTGTCTTCGCTCAGTCTCACAGTGTGTATATGCAGCACTTCTGTATTTAATATTAGCAGCACTCTCTCCCTGCACTTCACCTCTCTGCTCGCTTCTCTTTCCCCTCACCTGCAACAGGTTGCAGCACTTTGAGGCAAAAAATAAATTGACTCTCGACTGCAGCAAAATAACTCTCCTCATTACCGGATATAAAACACAAAGCAACAGTAGGATTAGCAGACGTCAGAGGCTCTCACCTCCTTCTGATCGCCTCCACTATGAAGCACAGTTCTCTTCACCACCTTTGAAACAGCATCTCCCTCCTCTATCTGGACCGACTCCTGGTGAGAGCCTTCGATGGTCACTTCCTGTGTCTCCATGCCGTCTGGAGACACATATTTACGAATGACCTTCCGCGTGACCTGTTGGAGAGGCAAGTCACTGTAAAGGTTTTCTGTATGAAGGACCAGGTTTTAAGTGTAATACAGATTTCAGTGTTGAATCTTCCTCACTTTCTTGACCACCATGTTGCCATCTTCATCGATGTACTTCTCTTCTGTCAGGGTCTGCAGGGGGATGTCTGGCAGGTTATCGGCCTGCAAAAGACACAAAACGCTTGCTGTGGGTTCACACCTTCACTCACATTACGCACAATCTACAGACGTCAAAGAACATTTTGCAATCAATCCAACGGTAATTAATAATAGTCAGCTCCAACAGATCTCTGTATTTCAAGTCCGTCTGAAAACAGTGTTGACGATTGCTGAATACCAGCGTCATTATGGGTCCATTCAGGTTATACACAGTGCAGCTTTCCTGTTTCAATGCACAAGTATCACTTCCAGTAACAAAAGAAAAAAACCCTAATGGTGACACGACAACATGTGTAGAACAAAGTGTAGAAATACAAATTTATCTTAAAAAACAAGCAAAAAAACCAAAAATGTGAATCTAAAGTCAATGAAATTGTAAAGGACCAAAGTTTCTAGCTGACTCTCTGAAATATGACGTTCTGCATTAGAGGAAAATGAATTTGAGCCGAGTGTATTATACAGGATTAATCTGAAAAGCTCAGGCTGAAAAAGGAGCAGCAAAACTATCCACTAAACCTTCAACAGGCCACAGGCGCACTGCACTGCACGCAGTCATGCTCGTTTACCTGAATGATTACTCTGCGTCGGACCACCCTGGTGGTCAGTACATCCTCCTCTGAGCTATCAGAGGACAGCATCCCTAGCTCCTCAGCTATCTCCTGCACATAACCAGCATGGGTCAACATAGCATGGGTCTAAACAGTGTCTACAGTTAACTTCTGCAGCCACAGGTCTCTGTGCAATGCTGTGAAAAACTGAGTACACTGTTACTGCTTCCACAGGAATCAAGAGGGTAAGTAGCAGTAGCAGGTTCTGCTAATCAAATGCATGTGAGCAGAAGTCTACAGCATTCAGGTGAGCATCAACACAAGCAATGAACTGCCCAGATTGTTGGCCAGAAGTTGTTGCTGTCCATCAATCTGACGTCCAAACAAGTCAAAGTGGAAACATTGTTAGCAGGAGTTAGAGGCGATGAGCTGCACTTGGCCTGGGTACGTGCAGTCCTGAATCCCAGAGTCAAATGAAAGGCCACCTGTACCGAAGACGCTACTACTACTGAAGAACAAAGGGGGGTCTGAAGTACTCCCACAAATCTGCAACAGAACGGCTAAAAAATAAAAGACTCGAGCTGGGGTAGTAGTCCAAAGACCAGAACTCAACTCTTTACCTTAAGAGAGCTGTGCATAAACAAAAGCATAACTGCACTGCCCCATATGACTGTATCCTTCATAGCTAAAGGAAATTCTTTTTGCATATATTTAAGGGGGGGATTATCTGTACATGTGAGTGGGATGAACTGCAACAGGCAGAAATCAAAGCAAACAGGTGCAAATGTCTCTGTTAAAGACTCCTTACAGCAGCTCATGCATTTCAGCAACAGTTTGAGATACTGCAAACAAACAAACCCAAACAGCACACTGGTGTGAGGAAGAAGTGTTTGTGTTATGACATTTGCAATATTTCTAATATTTATGCACACAAAAGCATTTCAGTGTCTTTTAGTCTCCAAAGTACCGACTGCTTGTTTGTCTCTTGATTTAGGAATGCAGATCCACAGCACTGTGCTCATGCTCAACCTCTTACCCGTCCCAGGAAGTCATCATCGTCATAGTATTCTGCCTGATCTCTGGAAGGGAGCTCCTCCAGTACAGGGAGCCCACTGTCTGTCTGATACGCCTCTACATCATAAGCAAATTCAGGAAGACTTTCGCTGCTGGTAGAGAAGAGATTTCTATCTTCTGCCCGCAAGAAGAGCTGGTTTGCTTGAGTAGCACGCTGAAGGCCAGTATCAAGACTACTCCCAGGTACTGGTGAAGGGGGTTCAGAGATATGATAGGTAATCACATCTTCTGGTTCCGAAAAGTCAGAGAAGGCTTGTCTGCAGTCAAAGAACTCCATATCTGAATCAGAGTGCTGTGGAGATTCAGAGCCCTTGAAGTGCTGCTTTACTGGGACATTCGGTTTACCTAATTCAGATTCGGACGCTTGTTTCTCTCTAGTTCCTGTGAGGACCTTCTTAAAGTCTGGTGAAAAGTCTTCGGTGTCTCCAAGGGTTTCAGACTCTTTCTTAGTCAGAGCTTGGCTCTCAAGCTTAGCTGACATAGAGTCGCTGAACACTGACAACAGGAGGCTCCTGTCATTCAAGGACACTTGGCTACAGTCAGGAGCTCTCAGATGTTCTGGAAGCATTGCCTGGTAATCTCGATCAGGAGTTGGCGAGGGTGAAAAGTGCTCACTAGATTGTGCTTCCTTCAGGGACAGCTCCCACTCAGAGCACCTGTGGGATGCAAATGAAGCCTTCTCACGTGAAGGCAGAATTGGAGTAACAGCTCTGTGAGTTGTGTATGTGCTGTGTTCAGGTAGCTGTAGAGGGACTGATGCCATCAGCTTGTCTTCACCAAAGAGCACACCTATGTTACTGCTCTGCTGTGTTATTGTTGTAGCAGACTGAAGCTGTGTGTCATCGTCTGTTTGAAACCGTGTTTCCTTTGGTGTCTCAGGAGCCTGGAAGTGAAATTTCAACATTATCTCAGTAGCTAACTAAGAATACCAGAGGGTGAGCTTTAACCATGCAGACAAAGCCTTTTTTAATCCAGAAAAACAAAGCAAGTTTAGTCTGAGTTTAGGGAAATAGGTTTACTGCTTAGAAATGTGCAACAGACTGCAAAAAGTGCCCCTCAATAAACAACCGTCTGTCGTCAGACAAATGAACTGAAGGGAATAATTAGTAGCTCACGACACATCCCCAGCATTAATGCACTCCATGTTGTTGTTAGTTCAGCAATGTATTTTCCTTTTTTTTCACACAGTTACACTTTTTATGTCCAAGTGACATAAAAGGTTACGTTAATGAAAACTAGTTACTCTCTGCTGGATTTCATGCTTTCAGTCTTACCCTTTGAGAGGCTAGCTTGGTCTTTAGATCATCAACACTAACAGGCTGGGTCTTCTTCTGCTTTCCTTCACCATCATTAACATGTGAGTCTTCCTCACAGACGGTGGTTTGTAAAGTTGAGAAGCTTCCAACCTGGGATCCGGGCTCCATCCATTCTTTGTATGACTGAAATTCTGGTTGTAATTCTTTCATTTCTTGCCACTTAGGATGTTCTTCACCAGACTTATCCCCAATTTGAATTACTAACGGTGACATCGCTATTGGGCTTTTGATAAGTAACGATGAAGATGGACCAGAGTCTAATTCCTCCTCTGATTCTGCAGTTTCAGGGCTCAAAGGTCGCGAAATATCATTAATCCAACAATCAACAGGCAAGGCCACAAACTCAGAGTCTGATGCAAAGAAACCGGAGAAGATGATCTATCTACTGGAGTAGCATTCATAAAATAAGATGACAATATTCTCATAAATTCAGGTACCGGTGAGTCAGGTAACAGTTGTTCAAACTCACCGAGAGACGACACAGATTCAGGTGAGGATGGTCTGTCACTACCAGCAACTTTTGATGATTTGACAATCAACTCGTACTCTGAGTCTGAACTCTGTGATTCAGTTGACAATGACTCACAAATAGTGCTGTAAGCCTCCAACGACTCTGTAAACTGAGGGATGGGAGAGTCTGGAGACAGCGGCCTGTTCTCATTGAACTCTGGCATTGATTCTGGAGATGATGCTCTTTTGTCAGCCATGTGTACGGCAGATTCAAATGACACAGGTATGTATTCAGAGACTCAGAGGATAGTGGCCTGTCTGTCTCGTTTTGATCATCAAACAGTGGAACTTCCACAGATGATGGTCTGCATTCTACAAAGTCAAAGTCTAAATTCAGTGGCATATGATCTGAACCCAATGCTAAAGGTGACGATGATGATCTGGGAAACATTACACATTCTGACAATGCCACTGTAAATTCTGGTACTGGAGAATCTGGTGAAAGTGGTCTGAACTGACTGACTGATGTCACAGGTCCTGGTGATGGTGCTCTTGCATCTAACACCATGACTGCATTGGGGACATGGAGGATTCTGGTGAACCTTCATCCTGTGTTTCTGCCTCAGGCAATTCAAATATAGACTTTCCCTGTCTGTATGGAAGTGCTCGTGAAGAGAAAATGTGTTCAGTCATAGGTGACTCTGCCTCCTCTGAATTTTTATCCTTTTCTGTCCGATTTTCGTCATCTGTTTCACTTCTCTCGTAGTCCATTGTGCTGTCAACAAACTGTGTAAACCTTTTTTTACTATGCAAAGTTTCTCTGGCACACTGAAGATGACTTGCTTGAGAACTTGGACTCCATCGCTCAGCATCATCAGCGAGATTATACTCAGTTACCATAATTAGTGATTCTTTAGGGTCAGGTGGGTCTTTTGATTCATTTAAAGATGATCTGGATGCAAGTATTTCCTCCATATCTAATACTAAAGATTCAGGTGATGTTGTTCTTTCTCCCGTACAGAATGGAGCTGAAGCCTGGGATAAACTGTCAGAATCTGAAAAGTCTAATGGTGACATGTTTCTCACACATGTGAAAGTTTCCACAAAACTCTTTGTGAAATCGGGCACTGGTGATTCAGACCCCAGGAGTTCGTCATATGATCTTTCGGACTGCGCTGACAATGCTCTCTTGGTAGTGACTCTTGCGTTAAATGGAGAATATGTCAGATCACAGTCCAGATCTGAAAACAATGATGATAATGATTCAGAGGATGAGCTGCCATAAAGTGTTCCTGCTGCTGGAGCCTCAAAAACATTTTGTGCAAACCAAGGGAGAGGTGAGTCTGGAGAAAGCTTCTTGTGTTCATCAAATGACTGAGTAGATTCTGGAGATGCTGATCTAATGTTTCCAAGTAGCACTAATGTCCCAGGAGACATGGGCCTGTATTCTGGTATAGATTCAACAGAGAGCGGCCTTTCTTCTGTTTCTGATTCTACTGATTCAGGAGAATCTGGTCTGTTCTCAACACAGAAAATTGTGGACATCAAAAAGTCCCTCACAGCGTACTCGACATCTGATTCAATGGATTCAGGAGAGGATGAGCGATACCCAACATTTACAATGACGTGTTCTGGCATTCCTGGTGTGTAATCGGGTATTGGCGAGTCTGGTGACTGCACTTGGTACTCATCTCCAGATGCTACCGAGCCAGGTGAAGAGCATCTCATGTCATGAACTAGTGAGCTTAAACTTATAAAAATATATTCATCGTCCGAACATGTTGACTCATGAGATGCCGATCTTTGTACAAAGACATTTTTGGGTACTCTAAACAGTGTTTTCACAAAGTCAGGTACAGGTGAATCAGGTGAAAGTTTATCTGATGATAGAGATTCAGGAGAAAGTGGTTTACCAAGTGTTGGGAGGTCTATTTTTAGGTCTGAAAGCACTGACTCAGGGGACATGGACCTTAAAGCACTGTGAGACTCACGAGGTAACTGAATGGGTGAGGCAGGTGAAAGGGTTTACAATGATCTTCTGACTGAGTTGAATCAGGAGATTCTGCCCTGTCTCAAACATCTGTAAAATCAGAGGAGCATATTCTGTTTCTGAAGCCACTGATTCAAGTGACGATGACCCGTGAGCTTTGAACTCAACATTAGTTTCTGGCAACCCCGTCTGAAGTCAGGTACAGGGGAATCAGGAGAAAGACTTGTGTATTTGCTCACAGATGGTAAGGATTCTGGAGATGAATGCTGGCCTTCTGGGACCGTAAGAGAATATAACTCTGTTTCAAAATCAGATAACACAGATTGAGGTGAACAAGACCTGAAGTCTGTATATGATATTGATGATTCTAGATCTGGTCTAAATTCAGGAATTGGTGAGTCTAGTAAAAGTTTAAACTCTGATGCAGCTGATTCAGAAGATTCGGCTCTGTCCTTAAAAAGCCCTGTGGCACACAAATCTCTCTCTGAATCTTCATCTGAATATACTGATATGGGTGATAAGGGCCAGTGTTTGACTTCTAACATAGTGGTGTACTGGGTAGTGGAGAGTCAGGAGACAAACATCTGAGGTCAGACACATCTGACTCTGGTCTGTCCTTAACATCAGACATCTGTGAAATCAAAGGAGCATATTCTATTTCTGAAGTTACCGATTCAGGTGATGACAACCTGTGACCACTGGCATCAACACAAGAAAGAGTGGAATTTGGTAAATGACCTGATTTGTTTAGAGAGCCACTTGATTCAGGAGAAGATGATGTGACATTTGCCATTAGTGATACAGGTGAGGAAATTCTATACTCTGATATAGAGTCAAAGGTCAAAGGTTTCTCTTCAGTTTCTGATTCTAATGATTCTACAACAACTGGCCTATCTTCAGTATCAAGTAAGCGGTTAGCTAAAGATGAATACTTAACATCAGACATAACTGTTGATCTAAACTCAACAAACGATGGGTAACGTTCAGCTACTCCTGACATCACCTGAGGTTCAGATGAATCTGGTGATTGAGTTGACTTTCGTCTCTAGATACGCCTGAATCAGGCGATGGAAGTCGGCGTTCATCTGTCATTGATAAAAATCTACCCTCTTCAAATTCTAAATCAGAAAAACAAACAGATTCAGTTGAACTGGACCTGCATTCAGCATTCGAAACACTTGGGGGCTGAAATATAAAATGTTTGAATTCAGGTATAGGTGAATCAGGGGAAAGTGTCCTAAATTCATTTTCAGAATCTGGTGTAAGTGATCCCCCCTTCACCTCAAAAAATTGCATGTCCAAAACTTCTAAGTCATTGTCCAGCATGAAAAATGTAGGTGATGATGACCTACTTCCAAAAACTAACACACCTTCTTCTATATCTGGGTTAAATGGTGGTGGTAGAGGAGAGTCTGGAGATAGAGGCCTAAACTCATTAATGGATGCCCTTGAGTCAGGAGACCATCTTCTTATTTCGGTCACTAAGTCTTCAGGTGACATGGGCCTATATTCCATGACTGACTCTGGTGAAAGTGGCCGCAATTCAGTTTCTGAATTGAAAGACCCTGGACTGCCAAGGATGCAGGACTCAGCAGGACTAAATTCTGATGAAACTGAAGGTTCAAAAATAAAGCAGAAAATTCCTTCTCTTCCACATCTGAATCGAGTTGAATACATTCTACATTGGTCCCAGTATCATCAACTATTTCAGCTCTGTTTACAAAACTTTCTCCTACATAATGAGGATCATACAGCTGACATATCATCTGGTGTGCCCTAAATGTTTCATCAGCTGCGGACATCTTGTCTTCAAGATTGGAAGCTGATTGAGGTGAGTCTGTTCTCTCATTTGTAAAGACCACTGAAGTTGAGAAGCCATAATCAGTATGTGAAAGCAATGACTCTGGTTTGGAGGACCTATATCCAAAGGCAGCTGTGTGCAATTCAGGTACAACAGGTCTGAGGTCTTGTAAGGGGGAATCAGGTAAAAATGGAACGCTTCCATCTGCAGATATTACAGAAACATGTGATAAAGGCCTCCTTTTGTTGTGGTCTAATCCATCAGTTGACACAGCTGATTCTGGTAAAGATGAGTGACACTCTGAAATGTTAGAAAAGTAAGGGAAAATCGGAGGAACTGGGGAATCCGAGCACATGCCTTTCAAAGAATCTGGAGAATCTGTAATTTCCTCCAGCAACAAAGACCTGTTTTCTGACTTAGAATCAGGTGACAATGGTCTGTCCTCTGAATCCTCCAGAACATACTCAGTTTTTGTTCCAGCATACTCAAAAAACCCAGTTTTACTTGTCTCTCCGACATAGTGATGATCATGTATTTGAGAACTTAGCTTCCAAAATTCAGCACCATAAACAAGTTTATCGATGGGCACTTTAACCTTCTTTAAGGACTTACCACTACCAGCAGTCTCTGTAAACTCTGTGATTCCTGATTCAGGAGATTTGGGTGTCTGTTCAGTACAAGTTATGTCTACACTTGATTGTTGAAGTAGTGACTTAGAAAGTAGTAATTTATGATCACTAATTGAAATTGATTCAGTAAGGCCTGTTTCAAATGTCGGCATTGGAAAGTAACCACTGTCTTCTCCAGAAATTTCAGAATAAAGAGATGAAGGTCGAACTGCAGAGCAAAATGATAGAGCTGAGTACTCATTCCTTGACGAAAGCAAAACGGGTGATAAGGGTTTTCCAGGAGTAGCTGTAATGGCACATAGCGGCATGTCTTCATCAACAGAATCTGGAGATGAAGCTCTGTTTTCAGAGAATAATGGTTCCAGAGAATCAGACCCATACTCTAGATCAGAGCAGAGTGAATCAGGTGATGAGGACCTTTCCATTGTAGCTGTAACATAACCTTCTGGCAAAGCTACTTTAAACTCTGGGATGGGTGACTCAGGTGAATGCGGCCTGTCATCATCAA